AAGGAAAAGTATTTTTCTACAAAATACTTATTTCCATTTAAATGCGGACTGTGTTGGAAGGGTTTGTCCCAGTTTTGAAATGTGTCAAGTCGTGATGCATACCGAAATCAATTGACAGAAGAGCACAAGAGGATATTGTCGCGACTACAAATCAAATACGACTGGACTTCAGAACACTTGACCACACCAATAATTCAATGATGAAAACTATACCCCCTCAAATCTGTTAAGTTATTTAATAAATATACGGAGCTTCGTCTGTGTACTGGGGTATGGACTTAAGAAACCCACAAGCTAAAGTCTTTTAATAACCACTGCTAATAATTTGGATTTAATGAGATGACTGGTATACTATAGTAGTACGTAAGGTCTTGACTGTACCTTGGAAAATATATTCCTCTGAATCTCTGTCTTTGGACACAATAGTGGAGTGGACAACTTGTTCTTATTTTGTATATAATCAAGAAATTGTGATTTTAAGTGACAGCTATATTGAGACATTGTAACATTTGTGATAATATAGACATTATAGATTGCTTTTTATGATAATAAACAAGATTAATATCAAAATTAGTTCTAATATATATGTTATTTTATGGTGTTCTGTTGTGCTTCGTAAGAATATCTTGACGCGACTATTGTGTTGAATAATCCGTTTCCTCCTCTATATATGTCTAATCCTGCCACAACACAGGTGCCTGCCACCATTCAGGCGTGCCGTTAGCCTTGCTTCAAAGACGTACATAATAATAATTGCAGGGATATAATTAATTCTATCCCCATAATAAGCAAGTCTAGACAGCACATGCCATAGGCCTTTCTTCAGACACCTTCTAATCTTATTATCTACATAACCTAGAAAGTATTATTTAAACTCAAAACTTATTCACCCAAAGACATGTGCCTTTGAGTGTGTGGTGGATGGGCCATGGCTGAAGAGATAAGCTGACCCACGTCTTGTCTTACGTGCCATATATCAGTGACTAGCTGTTTATAAACTGTCTTAGCATATTAGAGTGGAGACTTGTTTATATATAGGAAATCTGTGTCACTCCAAATTCCATTCCAAATTCCATTCCACTATTCCATTCCAAATTCCATTCCAAAATCCATTCCATACTTTACACTATGCCATCGTAAAGCGTTGAAACACGACGAGATCAGGGTTCTGGCCGAAGCAAAGCTGAACACGGTAAGTGAGCGTATTTCTACGGCACTCACTGACAGTAAGATCTCAGAGGAAGAATTTCGTTCAATCCTCTCTGAACTCGACAAGTACCGTAAGATGAAACAAGAAATCCGGTCCAAGTCTCGTAAGTCTGCTATCAGCGAAGACTAGAAAAAAAGTACATAGAACAGGGGGTACGAAAAGCCCAGCAAGCCTTCATTACGAACACCAAAGAGATCATAGGCGATTCATATTAAACTGTTTCCTCGAGGTCAACACGACATAGTGTAACGTGATCAGGATCGCGGTCATAGTGACACAATAGTGTCACGTGTGTGCGTGTGGGCAGCTGGACGTAATGCAGGTCTTGCAAAGATCTACCGTAATACGTGCAACCCTGTGGAACGTTGACGATCCCAGAAACACAATCAGGACAAGTCTTGAACTCGATTCCGCGAATACAAGGGTAATTATTCTGTCATGGATCAGTTGAGTCATTTCGAAAAGTATCTCAGTTGTCGTCAGTTATTCCATAAAGAACGTGGTAGTAAATGATCTGCCATCATTACTCGAAGTGTTTTGTCATCATTCATTTTGTGAAGTATCAGTTATATGTCATTTCATGAAGTACCTCGTCATCAGTCATTTCATGAAGTACCTCGTCATCAGTCATTCCTTGAAGTACCTCGTCATCATCATTCGGTGAAGTACCTCGTCGTCAGTCATTCAGTGAAGCACCTCGTCATCAGTCATTTCATGAAGTACCTCGTCATCAGTCATTCCGTGAAGTACCCCGTCATCAGTCATTCCGTGAAGTATGTCGTCATCAGTCATTCTTTGAAGTAACTCGTCATCAGTCATTCCTTGAAGTATCTCATCAGAAGTCATTCCTTGAAGTACCTCGTACCTCGTCATCAGTCATTCAGTGAAGCATCTCGTCATCAGTCATTCCTTGAAGTACCTCGTCATCATCATTCGGTGAAGTACCTCGTCGTCAGTCATTCAGTGAAGTACCTCGTCATCAGTCATTCCGTGAAGTACCTCTTCATCAGTCATTCTGTGAAACACCTCGTCGTCAATCATTCCTTGAAGTACCTCGACATCAGTCATTCGTTGAAGTACCTCGACATAAGTCATTCCGTGAATAACCTCGTCGTCAGTCATTCCGTGAAGAACCTCGTCGTCAGTCATTCCGTGAAGGACCTCGTCGTCAATCATTCCTTGAAGTACCTCGACATAAGTCATTCCGTGAAGTACCTTATCATCAGTCGTTCAGTGAAGTACCCCGACATACGTCATTCCGTGAAGTACCTCGTCATCAGTCATTCGACCGCCTCCGTGGTGTAGTGGTTAGAGCGTCCGCCCGGAGAGCGGAAGGTCGCGGGTTCGATCCCCGGCCGCGTCATACCAAAAGACGTTAAAATATGGTACTTGTTGGTCCCTGCCTGGTGCTCGGCATTATTGGATACAACAAGGACTTGTCAGTATAGTGTGTCTGAGTTGGGTATAGATCATGCCTAACTGCAACATGATATCTCAGTATAAAAACAGCTTTTAAAGTCTGGACTAGTACAAGCAGTCCCACACACGCATGCACGTCGTCATATGAGAGAAATAAGCTAAGTGCGACGTTAAACCCCATTTCACCTCACCTCACCCATCATTCCGTGAAGTACCTCGACATCAGTCATTCTGTGAAGTATTTCTCATTATTTGAAGTGTTTTGTCATCAGTCATTCCGGGAGGTATCTCGTCATCAGTCATTCAGTGAAGTATTTGTCATCATTCTGTGAAGTACCTCGTCATCATTCTGTGAAGTATTTGTCATCAATCTGTGAAGTATTTGTCATCATTCTGTGAAGTATATGTCATATGTCATTCTGTAATGTGTATAGTTTTCATCAGTCACTAAGTGAAGTCTCTTGTCATCAGTCATTCCGAAGCATTCAGTCATTTCGTAAATGAATGAGTTTGGAAAACGCCACTTTGTAAATAGCTACACGCTTAAGGCAGCTTAATTTGGTAGGAGAAAAGCCAAACATTGCTGATGCCGCTTAGGTCGCAATCGTTTGCCACTTAAGTGAAACAGGTGATGATCGTGATACTATCAAACCTGATAAAGACAGGTATTTAGCCAATCTTTAGCAAAGGCACGCAACTTTATACACAGTGAGGGTCGGGTGCTAAGAGCATGAAATATCGAGCGTATACATATATTCTTCCTCAAACATAGCATCGACTTTATTTATGATATCCGTGACGATCCGGGTTAGAATTGGTCTTCAGTAACCCATGCCTGTCGTAAGAGGCGACTAACGGGATCGTGTGGTCAGGCTCGCTGACTTGGTTGACACATGTCATCGTATCCCAAATGGATTGATGCTTATGATGTCAATCACTGTATTGTCTGGTCTGGGTGTATCCGCTGTGAGAAATTATTTGTTGTGAAAAATTCTTATTGTTTTTATCATTTCAGAGAACTAAATTAATAAAAGATATACATGTATATCTGTTTCTACCAGAAATGCCAGCGATGAAACTGAAAATATATCTTTAAAATAAAAAGTACATATTTTGTAGCTCGTTGGTCTGTCATACAGACCTTGAAATATACCCGATACTGCCCACGCAGGTATAGAATATGTGACAAGTCTATATCACCACAGTTTCTGAAAATAAAGAGTATCTGGGCTCCGTTTTCATGATATATTGTGAACATAATTTATGAACAGTTTTGTAAAATATGTTCATTCCATAGACTAAATGTTAGACATGTTACAACCATCCTATAAACAATTCCACTGTATGCTATAAAGTTTCCCTACGTGACTACACATGAATATATACACATGCAACAGGTTTAATCTTTTCTCGACGTGTCAACTGTTATGCACATGCATACCTGTATTGGATGCGATTGTTTCAAGGCATTAATGACAAAGGCTTATTGTGACTGAATATCAACGGACTTCCAATAATCTGAGATTATTTATTGTAATCACTTATATTAAATGTCTCTGTTTCTTATTTTATGCTGTAAAGAACATTTCATTGTTTTTATTTTACAGACGTATTCTACGATTATTTTTAAAAACAACAATAAAACCATGTATTTTTTATTTTTAAATTCCATGTTTTTTATTACAGTTTTATTGACAACTTTGGTTTGATTTTTTGTAAGAGACGGGATCTCGATATTTTGTGTCAAAGGATTTATTTCTCCGATATGACAGGGACAATTTATTTTATTATAAGTACATATTTCATTTCAACACGTTCGTTAAGAATCTGTGAAAGAAACAAAAAGAAATGTGTTTTTTTCACAAACAAAAATGCAACAAATCCCCTTACCCCTCCCCATTCGTGAAGAGCGGGCGAGTCCATTGTTTCTCTCCCCTTTCGGTCACTACATGGTCACTCAACCGCTGGCCATTGTCCAGGGACATAAAAGATAGCTGTTATCAGACCCCTTATGCTTGACACAATAACAGTGTTTCTCCATGACCCGTGAAGTTTAAGCGGCACATGGCCGTGACACATTGCGTAACGAATAACTGTTAATGAACAAACTCGGAAGCGATTAAAGAAAGGAGTTAATCCAGCGTATCAAATCCGTCAGCTTATGTATATTTAACCCAGTAAATATTGTCATGGCAGAACCTTGAGATTGTTTATTTTAAATATTACAGTCATCAAAATACATAATACCCCCAAAATACTTTCTTGATTATAAAATTTCATATTTCGACAAAGTTCAAGAATTCTCTCCTCCTGGAATATTCACAACTCTACCGATAGACGTCGCTACAGACTTCGTCGTCTTGGTCCACTTGAACTGGGCATCTGTCTATAAATGTAATAAAAACACATCGCAAGCTACTGCGTTTTGCACCAGTTGAAAAGATCGCGCGTAGTTTGGCGGCAAATTCAGAACACCGGTACACACAGCAAGGAGCAGCAAGCTGTTTTGACGCATGAAATAATTCTGAGATCGGTAAGATTGCCAAGTTTTCTGTTATGTTTTTGAATGAGAAAGAGTTGACAGTAACTATTATTGAACATGTGCCCTATTAATGTTGTTTTTTTTCGAATCTAGGCTTATTTCATAATTATGATGATCTTCAGTCTCGGACTATATATATGGCACCTCATTTTTATATCTTTATCTTCTGATGTGTTCATATGGTTTCTCATGTTAAAATATTTTATCATTCGTACCATGATTTGTGTGATTTAGTTCGTACTCATCAGTTAGTGATATATATGAGGTATATATCTGATTGGCGCCATTTATGAACTGATCAATGCCCATATTAGGCATTTATCATGATAAATATAATTTATACGAAAATAGGTGTTTGCTTGAGGGCCAAAATATCACTTAATGTGTTTTTAAATTGGATCGTTTTTTAACTCAAATATTGAATTCACCCGTGACGAACACAGACTTGATTCGTTGGCTATATCATTGTGTGAATATATGGCGCCTTTTCTAACAAACCGATCTCACGTAAGGTTTGTCAAAGAGGATTCGGCAAGCACTGACCATACCTACTGTTTGATATTATCATTACGACAGCGGTCGACAGAATGGTTTTAGATCATCGTACAAATTTCAGTTTGATATATGTCCTGGTGTAAATAGAGGCACATATTGGCAATAAATTAATATATGGCACATAATGACGGATGTACTCCAGATTATATCCTATCACGGTGTTGTTTTCCTGTTAAATCCAATATGTATTTCGCAGTTTCGTTCATATACAAGTATTCTACTTAATTTCCTTGACCAATCCTTTATTCGCGGCTTGTATTCGATTACTGCACGATGCAAAAAATCTGTTGTGACGATAATTTTACAATCTCCTCTCCGCTATGTGATGACGCAATATCCTGGCTAGCAGTACGTAAACAATCCACTCCCGCCAACAACAGCTAATCGTGTTGTTCTCTTACCTTTATTATATGAATGGTTTACTTATGCATGAGAAAAACTGACCAGCATGGACCATTCTTGGTCATGCACATGGTGGTGAACACTTACACAAAAACAGCAACACGGAAACGATATTAGTTTTGGCGGTGAACAGCGCGTGGGATAAATATTGGCCAATCAGCGCGCATCTGAGGTCGCGTGCGGGCTTATTCATTCATGCACACGGTAGCCGAACAACATAGTAGTACTAGTACTACAGAGGCCGGCCCCACGTGGATTTCTCGTCTCCTGTCGGACGGGCCCTTTCAGTGAATAATCGAAGGGTAGGTGAGTAGATTTAGGTTCCTAGGTTTTAGGATAGATGTAACAAATTTATCGTACCGCACATCTTTCCCTACATTATTTTGTCTGGAATTACCAATTTCATAAGTGATTAGTCGATAGCCCACGTGTTTTGACATGATGTCCACATAACGGTAAGTAATATTTATTCCCAAGCAAAGTACCCAATGGAAATAAGGATTTTTTTTATAAATTGGTGATATTTCCAGGGTAGAAAACGGACATGTAAGATACCGTAAATTTATCTAAGGTAAACAAGTAAATACTGTGCAGAAATCGGAGCCGCATACACACGCGATGTCTGGTCCACGTGAGTGGATGGGAATAGATTCGGCAGAGCCAAATACCGATCACTTGTAAAACGCCAATCAAAACCTTTTCTTTTTCGAATATTATTACGCAGTTTAAATAAATATGAAACAATGCTCTATACATTATGCAATTGTTTCTAATACACGGAAGAAATACATAACATCCTGTTTACAGATTACATGGTGAAATTAGTCATACTGTATTTTCAATATGGTAAATATTTGCTCGGTTATTACAATTAATGGCCCCCAATTAGGATATATCGCATTATTTACTGTTGAAATTCAAGTATGTTGTTTTTCAATACTTGCAAAACAGTGATACAAAATAACTTGTACTGACGCAATTATCTGATAATTGAATATGAGTGAAATCGCTTGATTTTGATAATTTGTTGGTGTAAATTCCCCTGCAGCACTAGTATTTTACCGATGTTTTAAAGGTCACATGCAACCAAAAAATCAAACATAATTAAAACACAATTATCACTTATTCATGACATATAATATACATTGCTGGTTATAAAAAAACATATAAACAAAATTATAAGCGTACAATCGCAAATCAAAAGTGCAACATTGTGTACTTGGGTTTACTACCCAAGAAATGAAGCAGCCGGGATACCGAACCCAGTCAGAGCGGGTGGGTGTGCACTCAAGTGTAACGGCTGGTTCACTTGCAGATGCCCTCACGGCTGATTGTGTGTGTATATATAGAGATGATGGGTTTTGTAAATACATGCTCATTTTTTGTGTATAACATTTTGCAATCAACAGACATCATAACATGTCATGTGTACAAGTATCACACCTGCCTGTCTGTGTAATTACATAATGTGACAGAGACCGAACTCGGGCCATAAATCAATGCATTTTGTTTATTGTGTATAGCCTGATTGGTGTTAAGTTCAAATTGAATGTGGTCAGTGATCGCAGTTGTGTATTGGATATTGTCATTAGCAGACAGGCAGGCAGACACACAGGTGTCAATAAAACAAGACATTGAGTTTTGTCTGTGACAACATGTCTATATCACAGTTAGAAATTCTGTCAACCCTAAATAATGACATTGCTTTTAAGTATCGAACTGAGAAAGTGACTCGGTAAGAAGAACGGGTGGTGAAATAGACAAATGAAATTATATAAACAGTTTATTTACTGTCATAACATCGCGCCTGTGAGATATCAACAAAACATTAGGAAAATAGCTCACACCAAAGCCTTCACCGAGTATTCACCGAACAGCCCGCTTCCAAGTTGCGCAAACCTATTTCACTGCGCACATGCTATGAGCGCAGTCCAGCTGTTGAAACCAGTTTTCCCCTGAAAAGTCGGGGGGAAATAAGTGAATCGTTTGAACTCCGATTTCGCGTGTTTTTTTTTCATCGCGTTATTTTTCAACTTTATAAGATGAATTTGCATTTTTGATGATTTGTTTTCGTAAGTCCATACCAAAAGGTATCAGAATCTGCAAAGTTGTGTTTTACGTTGCATGTGACCTTTAATTTACCAGTAATTTGACTCACAGTGGTAATAAAATCATCTTGGTGGTAAACCATAAAGGAACAATTTTAAGTGCTACTGAAATTTTACAAAATACATTTAATCCTATGACCATTATTTCTACTGCTCCCACGTTGTCACTAGTTGCCCCACAGTACGAATGTCCTAATGAGGATTCTGGGTTAGAATATAGAATATATTCCCCGGTAATCTATGCTGGTCGTAAGCGATGTTATGGACCAGATGGTCAAAATCAGTAACTTATTTTGTAATTATTTAATATGTAAAGTGTCATTCTGCCTAGACTGCATGATAATTGTTTGCAATATCAACCATTGTATTGTCTGGTCCAGGGTAGATTATATACAGGATGTTGATATAAAGCTGGAAGGTTGCTGAGCGAGGCGCCAATCAAGAAGGGTCATGTTTGACCCTGGAATATCAATATTATTGGATTGTCTGATCCAGACTCAATTATTAGACCTCTGCAATATAGCTGGAATATTGCTAATTGTGGCGTTAAACAAACACATCAATATTACCATCTGCACTTTTAGTTATTTGTCATATTGTTTACTATACATATCAAGTAATGCCCTGTTATAATAGCCAGATTGAAAACACTGGCATGGCCTCAAAACAAAGTATACTGACTACATGGTTGAAAAAAAACTGGTATTTGGACACTTCACCCTAAAAAGCCCTAAATTTGTTTTTGCCTTTGAAAGGCCCTTATTGCAAGCAATTTGCAATCAAAAAGGCCCTACATTTTAGCACAACTTGTCAAGGTATGATTTTATAGGAACTAATACATAATGAAAATACCTTGCCATGACAGTGGTGTCAAGTAATCTCTGTCACGAAGCAAAACTTTCCCAGTGCAGCGATGTAGCTAAGAGTTATTTCCCTCGATGGTCCCACATTTGACCAACCTTGTGTGTATTCAACTACTTATGTGTCACGTGTGTTTCTATAGTTCCTTAAAATTTCTGATTGGGCCATGATAAGCCATAAATTTGAACCCTGGATGGGCATGGCATACACCCAATTTTGATCATGTTGATGGTAACTAGAATTAAAATAAACAGGAAATGGTGATCGTAGCTGTGGTTTGGACCTGAAGATTGCGTTTGATTAAGCAACAATTCAGCTTGCAACAATTTGATAATGTTTGTAATGATCTTGGTCAAATCTAGGGACCGTTCATAATTTATGGCTTGGGGGTGGGGTGGGGTGATGATGATTTTATGGAAAAGCATGTACAATGTCAATGACCACCACCCCCCAAAAAATAAAAAAAAATAAAATAAAAAATTATGTACAAAATAAGTGACCCCCTGCATGTCACATACAAAATCAATTACCCCCTCCCCTTCCCATAATTTCTAAGCATAATTTTAAACACATATTTATGTACAAGATTGCTGACAAACACACACACACACACCCCAGTGCGTGTGTACAAAATTGCTGACAACCCCCTAGCACCCCCCTTAAAATCATCATGCCCCTAGCCGTACATTATGAACGGTCCCCCAGTTTTCCATAGTAATCTTCATTTTGTCCTGCAGTTGATGAAGACTACACTAACTGTAGTTTTGTCTTAAATTTATTATTAATAATGTTTACAAATAATGTGAAATAGTGGTAAAGTTCCAATCATAGCAACTGGATCCAGATCACAATCTGACAGATCATAGCTGCAATTCGTCTGAACATGAGATTTGTGAAATTCTTTTATTTCCATTATAATTGGAAAATTGTGAATGTTGTGTATCCAGTTTCCAGAGCCATTGAAAACTCATTATTTGAGACAAACACCAGGAATATGAGAACAATGATTTTACAGTGGATTTATGGCTGGTAACATATATATGTATATAATACCCTAAAGGGCATGTAGATCATGGTGGTTTGCGGTGTGTGGTCCTTTGCATAGAGATGTGGTCCTTTGCATAGAGCCCAGGTCACAAATCAGTTGAAGTTAAGCAACACTGGTCATGGATGGTCCTTGGATGGGTGATCGTGTTTGGCAGCTCCACTCCTGAGAGTCTCTACAACTTCAGTCCTGCCCCATAACGAAGCCCATGTGATATATGTGGGTTCACCCTAGGCAAGTGAGTTTGTCCATGAATTGTTCACTCAGCAGTGAGTGGGTACCCGAGGGGATGTCATATGGCAGTTAACCTTCTAGCGCCTCACAGTCAGCTTGGGTTATCCAGGGTGATGATGTGCTAGCACCTTGAGCGTGGGCTAGAATGTGGAAACAGGTGCTTTATAAATGGCCATGTCAGGCATGTTAACCATAAGTAGCATCATGTCAATTCCCATCAGGGATTTACAGGACATGAATTCCTGCGTCCTATACGCATAAAACTTTACCATGGACGCAACAAAATTTATTTAAGTGCCCATAGAGACGCAGAAAAAGTCCAAATACGTTTTTGTAAATATTCCAACCAAGTAAAAATAAGTTATCACTGAGTCTGCTACTAGCTGGGTTATGGCATTGTTTCCATTTTAATTACTGTAACAATGTGATGATCATGATACGCAATACAATAACAGTAGCTGAATTACAACAATATTACAACATAGTATTGATAATAATATTTAATTGTCTGGGGCCCCCATTTGTAGTCCAGGACCCCTGAAAATTAAGAGTATGAGTCCCAGGGACCCTCAAATACAGGACTCAAGGTAAATCCTTGATTCCCATCTTGACCAGTAGTTCTAAATATTCAACCACACAAGGGAAAATGTTTCTCAGAATTCATTGTATTTATCTAAACAACCTTACTAGTGGTGGTCCGATTAATTGAAATAATCGAAGATTGGTCGCAGTGCCTAAACGACCAAGCAATCGATTGTGTTTTCTCAAAATCAAACACAACCAATTTTGGAACACTTGTTTGCATCAACAATATTTTATACAAGGTTGGTTTTGTCTGTGGCATTAAATTTACATTTCATAAGCACTACAAGCTCGTTCCAAGTCATGTTTGAATTTATCTTAAAGAATCCAGGAAATCTGTGTTCCTAACATACTAATCATCCTTTAATATACAATTTGCCAATGGATTTTGTGCAATTTGCAAAAGACTCAAATTATTACATGTTTTGTTTTGTGTGTGTGTGTGTGTGTGTGTGTGCATTAACAAAGATAACAGGAACATTTGATAAATGACGCAAACCAATTATTTTCGATGATTGATCGGTTGTAAACAACATGAAATTTTAAACAATTCCCAACACTAAACCTTACTTTAAAATATATTCATGGAAACGATTAAGGGAACACCTGAAAGAACAAGGGTTCCTTTTTCTTTTTCAAGAATTTCACCACAGTGCAATACATAGCTTGTGAAGAAACCTGAAAAGAATAAAGGCACCACAAAAGTTTTAAAAACCCCAAGGCCCTTACCTTTTGAAAGTGCATTAACACTTCTTACCTCTACTTCAGATTTTATCCTAAACATTTATAAAGTTTATATTAATATTTTGTTTCAAATAGCCAGGTTATACAAGCTGTAAATGCTCTAGTCATGTTCAGATTACAAATGACACCTGTCACAGCTGTGACAACCCCATTCAGTCTCCCACTGACTCTGGCCGGGCAGCTGGTATGTGTAGGTTACAAAATACCAGATGTTTACCCCATAGTCTTCTATAATAACATATATTTTTAAACTAAGCCCCCAACAGCTACATGTACATGTGTGCGACAGTCCATATTAATATAGACACCAAAATGAGAAGATTAACCAGCGGCCTTTCCACGTACAGGAAGTTAACACACCAGCCCCAGTTCCGCACAAAATGTCCCCTGCTTGAAAATATCTATGGTCACATACAGCATTAGTCAGAATGTTAAAAAAGACAGATCTAAATATTAAAAACATGAAAGAAAACCAAGTTCTATGGATAGTCAACTTCTTTATTGCAATTAGTGCGACATTTGATAACAGTGTTAGTACCTACACCGAAACGTCACACTCATTGCAACAAAGAAGTTGACTATCCATATAACTTGGTTTTCCTTCATCTATACAACTTCTAAAATGCCTCTCAAAGAAGTTATTAAAACATGTTTAGTTTAATTTCTGGTTTATTTACATTTAGAAAACATGAAAACTTCACACAAAATATCTTTCTTATTTGGAACCAGTTTTCTTCTGGTTTACACATTGATTTAATATTGATGATAGATATGTTACCATAGTAACCAACTAGCGATGCCATGACAAATTCTACGCATTAACCATTTGACGCAATGTATTGAACTGAAGGTTAAAATATTTTTCTAACATCATGATTATAGTTGACACCAAATACTCAAGCCCTCTGATCACTACACATGCTCAATAAGCCTACCACCCGTGAAGGTCCAGGTTAGAAAATTGATCTTCCGTAACCCATGCTTGTCGTAAGAGGCGACTAATGGGATCGGGTGGTCAGACTCGCTGACAATTGCGCATATCAATGCTCATGCTGTTGATCACTGGATTGTTTGGTCCAGACTTAATTATTTACAGACCGCCGCAGGGGTGGAGATAACTTTAAAATTCGTGTGTACTCCGGTACAGTGGCACATGTAAAATCCCTTGCCCTGATAATTTTTCCACTATACTGGCCAATTTTCTTGTTGATTTTCACATAAACAACATAATTAACATTAGAAAGTCAACTGGACACCGGTACAGAGTGATATACAAATTTACTTGCCCGACAGAAAAAACACTGGACTGGGACGTCAGGCAATGGGTATTTTCTCTCTCTCTCTCTCCCCCCTTTGAACTCAGTTTTTGGCATGACAAGCAAACCCTTTAACCATTAGGCTACCCCAAGGCCCCTTAATGTGTAAAAACAAGGATATCCACTTAAGTTCATAACAATTCATATCAAAGCTATTTACAACTTTAGAAAAAGCAAGGAAATTCACTATTGTTGCTTCATGCATTTAAAGTTGATCACTGGATTGTCTGGTCCAGACTCGATTATTTACAGACCGCCACCATATGGCTGGAATATTGCTGAGTGCGGCGTAAAACTCACTCACTCACTCACTCACTCACTCACTCACTCATGCATTTAAATCAATAAGCGATCGACAAAAGTCGATTTACAATATTATTTCCAAAAAAGACTTTGAAAAAGAGAAAAAAAATTTAAAAATTTGCTGAGGATATTTTGCTGCCCAGCATGCCCTGTTCTGAAACTCAGCAACCACACATTTAATGTTTCAGGCAAAATCAAGATGGCCCTGAATCAATTGGAAACCAGTGAATCGATGAAACCACTGATGAACACACACAATGATTCTGCTCTCACCTTCATGGTGGATTGCGACCCAATCTACAAGGAAACAACGCTGACGTCAACGCCCAGGAAGGGCTCCGAACATGTCAAGATACCCATTGATGATGCACAGAGTAAGTTCCATATCGAATCCTGGGGTTCATAGCATGCTAGTGAAATCAAAATATGGGGAAGGTTTGAAACATGAATCAAATGGCTGACAAAGTCAACCATTGTTAAAAGTCATCAAGTGAGTGAGTAGGTTTAGTTTGACGCCACTTTTAGCAATATGCCAGCAATATTATGGCAGGTGACAACAAACATGGGCTTCACACATTGTATCCATGAGGGGAATCGAACCCAGGCCTCCGATGGGACAAGCATACACTTAAACTGCTAGGCTAACCCACCACCCCTGAAAAAGTGAGAAAAACATATGTATACATATGGAGTGTTTACTTTCAACTGGCTGGACACACAGGGTTAGAATAAGTTTTAAGGATAATATGAGTCAACTTCACATATACGAATTACTTGGTGACTTCAGTGTTCACGAATGGTGTTTCAAAGTAACAGGACATTGGGTCCTGAAAGTTTCACACTGTTAACACAATTCATCATATCCCATTTACATAGATCTATGCTCATGTCAGTAACTGGATCGTCTGGTCCAGACTTGATTATTTGCCAATCGCCAGAGTATTGCTGAATATTAATCAGCCAACAAACCATGACAGATAATAGTTTGATTTTTCCCTTGTATTGTGTAGGTACGTCGTCAGCCAGTGTGGACTCCGGGTCTAGCAGCTTCATCGCCAACTTCACACTCCTACACTCCAAGATGGAGGACTTCTTCAAGGAAAAACAGAAGCTGTTCTTTAATGTGAGTTCCTCATGTCGATTGACCAAACTTTAATCCATCCTCCTCGGAATTAAAATATTTTTCATTTATGAATATTTGATTCAGGTGATTGTGCCTGATGAACTGACTCCTTAAAGGAGTTCAGTTTGAATCACCAAATACTGGGGGGAATCATAGCAACAGTAACCAGTTAAGAGTGATCATGCCTAAGTGAACACTAACAACTTGTGTCATCATATTCCTGTTGAAGTCAGTATATTTGAGCCATTGAACAGAGTTACAGAACTACTGTAGGTAATTCTCAATGTCTACTGAGTATCATTATACAGAGAAACCTGCCAACACTGGCACCTGTCTAATCCGACACACTGTCAAAACTGTCATAAAATTTTGGTCCTGCCATTTTACAACGATATTAATTATTATGATCATTAGAACATTGTCTAATCCGGCACCTATCTATTCCATATTCCGGCACGATTTTCCGGTTCCAACAAGTAATTTTAACTGTAATTTACACTGCCAAAACCGGCATGGGTATGAGCAGTCCAATCAAGGTCCCCTAATCCAATACACTTCTCTCGGCACACTTCATTAAAAGATTCATGAGTGTAAATGGCAGCCATGTTAGAAAATTATTGTCACTGTCTAATCCGGCACCCTGGCTAAACCGGCATTATATTTCGGTCCTGTGGAGTGCCGGTGTACACAGGTTTCACTGTACATATGTAGTAACAGTGTTTAATGATGCTATTATTAGCATAGTGTAGTGTATCAACATGGTTAGAATTGCCATGTTAACAAAATTTAGTGAAACAACCCTAATATAAGTAAATGATCAAATGGCATTTTGCGTAATAGATACCCCTCTCAAGTGCCCCCAAGCCTACTTGTGTAACAGACTGTTGGTTATCTCCTAAGCAGAACCTGAAGCTTAGGCATCAGGCCATATTTCCATGTGTATATTAGAGTATTTTACACGAACATATGCATAATAAGGGTACATAATTGCCATGTAACTATTATCCAACCTGTTTTAGTTTCACCATGTTTGTTTTTCATATACAGTCAAATCCCGATGAGTCGAATCGCTGGGGACCAAGTAATAAATTCGACTTATCGATGTATTCGAGACATAGGTATGTCTATGAGGGTAGAAAAAAATATGATCCAGTCCTAATTCCTCCGCCTAAGCATTTGTTTATCTAATGATTTCCATATCACTAATAGGGGCACCTTATCAGTTCCAGTCTGATTAGCACAGACAGTGATGTCCGTAAAATCCCTTATCTGCCTTTTGAACTCACCCGTCAATGGCGGAAAGGTGTGAGCTTGCTGGTTTGTTAATTGGATCAGTTTGCTACACCAATCAACTTCTCATTGATTGACTTCGGCTTATATTGCTGTTGATTGAATCTCATGGGACCAAATTTCCTTCTCGAGTTCCCGTGTGTATTTATGAGACGAATTCGTGTAACCGGTATTCAAATGATGACAACTATAACAGGGAATGGTCGGACCGACAGGTACTTCGAGTTATGCATAATATTCGAGACACCGGCATTCGACTCATCGGGATTTGACTGTATTCTCAATTTCTGAAAAGAGATTGATGTGATGGTTTGTGGTTTTAACAATTTTTCACAAGTTTTGTAAATCATCAAGGCACCAGGGGAGTTATTATGGTGATTGTGGTTTATATGGAAAATAATTTGCCAATGATTTGCTCCTTGAGTTTTTCTTTTACTAACTGAGTAGTCCCTCCTTACAGGGCCTCCTTAGTGTGCTTGCAGCAGCCTACGTGGCCTACTTTATGTACGCACTGTACCTACACGCCACGGGCAGTGTGAGAAGAGCGCCGTCCCCCTCATCATCGTAACCATCACAGCACTCGTCTTCATCGTGTTTAGATACATCAACAACATGTTTGGTGATGACATAAGGAATGTCACCAAAGTCATTCAATCTGCCATTAAAAGCAAATGGTACATTCTAAAATGGTGAGTTGTTTTACGGTTGATATATCTATTCTGTTATGAAAGTCAAATACAATGTAGTAATTTTCATGGCTTATTTTTACAAAAGCTGGAAAGGTTGTTTATGTTATGCTGTTGACTGTTTCAGGGTTGCCCTGTTCTTGGTGTATGGGGGCATGTTAGCATTGATCATATACACAGTGTGGGCGGTCCCTGGCAACCTGGTCTCCCTCGCCGGCATCATCACCTTCATCATCATTCTCTTCCTCTTGTCCTCAAATCCCACTCAGGTAACATCACCTACTTCCTCTTGTCCTCCAGCCCCACACAGGTAACATCAACCTCTTCCTCTTGTCCTCCACACACAGGTAACATCAACCTCTTCCTCTTGTCCTCCACACCCACACAGGTAACATCAACCTCTTCCTCTTGTCCTCCAGCCCCACACAGGTAACATCAACCTCCTCTTGTCCTCCAGCCCCACACAGGTAACATCAACCTCTTCCTCTTGTCCTCCAGCCCCACACAGGTAACATCAACCTCTTCCTCTTGTCCTCCAGACCCACACAGGTAACATCAACCTCTTCCTCTTGTCCTCCAGCCCCACACAGGTAACATCAACCTCTTCCTCTTGTCCTCCACACCCACACAGGTAACATCAACCTCTTCCTCTTGTCCTCCAGCCCCACACAGGTAACATCACCTCTTCCTCTTGGTCCCAACAGGTAACATCAACCTCTTCCTCTTGTCCTCCAGCCCCACACTGGGTAACATCAACCTCTTCCTCTTGTCCTCCAGCCCCACAGGTAACATCAACATCAACCTCTTCCTCTTGTCCCATCCACACAGGTAACATCAACCTCTTCCTCTTGTCCTCCAGCCCCACACAGGTAACATCAACCTCTTCCTCTTGTCCTCCAGACCCACACAGGTAACATCAACCTCTTCCTCTTGTCCTCCACACCCACACAGGTAACATCAACCTCTTCCTCTTGTCCTCCACACACACTGGTAACATCAACCTCTTCCTCTTGTCCTCCAGCCCCACAGGTAACATCAACCTCTTCCTCTTGGTAACATCAACCTCTTCCTCTTGTCCTCCAGCCTCCACACAGGTAACATCAACCTCTTCCTCTTGTCCTCCAGACCCACACAGGTAACATCAACCTCTTCCTCTTGTCCTCTAGCCCCACACTGGTAACATCCCTGTCCCCTTGTCCTCCAGACCCACACAGGTAACATCAACCTCTTCCTCTTGTCCTCCAGACCCACACTGGTAACATCAACCTCTTCCTCTTGTCCTCTAGCCCCACACTGGTAACATCCCTGTCCCCTTGTCCTCCAGCCCCACACAGGTAACATGAACCTCTCCCTCTTGTCTGATATGTATCCCCGCGATATTACATACAATTAGCTATAGTCAAGTATGTTATCCTTACCTGTTAGTGGTTGTTGTTTTCAGGTGCGGTGGCGGCCTGTGCTTGGCGGATTCACGCTGCAGTTTTATTTCGCCATGGTTATCCTCAAGTGGGATATTGGCTACAATGCCTTCCGATTTCTGGGACAGGAGATTCAGAAGTTCCTGGCCTTCACTGATTTTGGTTCCAAGTTTGTGTTCGGAGATAAATACATGGACCATTTCTTTGCTATGAAGGTAAGGTCACCAGCATACTATCACTTGAGGTGGTCACGTTTTTTAAACTATTGTTATTTTTTCTGTGTGTTTCAAGCTTAAATTACTAAGTTATGTTTCTTTGTTAATTTCCAATTTATTATTAATATGTAATACTTATCGTAAGAAGTGACTAACAGGATCAGTTAGTCAGGCTCGTCATCATATCACACTTGTATCAATTTTCACAATGTACAGATTCTAGTACTTCTGTTGGGTTGAGTCCCATCCGGGATTCGAACCCTCAGATTCAGGCACCTATTTGCCACACACAGTCAGCTGCCTAACCCACCCAGCCACCACTGAGTATTCATAACTTTTAGTGTCAATCACAGGATTGTCTGGTCAACACTAGTTTATTAACAGACAGCTGCCACATAGCTGAAATACTGCTGAGTCAAACAAACAGATTAGACACCAGACTAAAAGGTCTTGGATCTAAGCTTCACATTAATACAAATTTTTCACCCTCATGTTGTGTTTCTAAGGCCCCCCCCAAAAAATATGTCCATTTCCGGACCCGACTGAACCTATCCTAACCCCACCGACCCTAAATCATTTTTTAACCAAGTCAATGATATTGCAGTCCCTTGGGTATTCAGGATCAGAATGAGAATGTATATGATGGTTGTAAGGGATGCCAAATAGATGCTGTTTTCAGGGCTAGTATCTTGGCTGCTGGCATGTCTTTATATCTCTGCTGTATTTATCTGTCTGCCTGGTCCAAAAATTATTCACCGGCCCTGTCATTTACTGGGAATATTGATGAGTGTGACATTTAGCAAATTAAAAAATCACCTCATACATTGAACAATTATGCTTAATTCTTGTTGTTATGGTTACAGGTGCTTCCTGTGATCGTGTTCTTCAGCTGCTTCATCTCCATCCTGTACTATCTTGGCATCATGCAGTTCATCATTGGCAACATCGCATTCGTCATGAGGAGCTTGCTGGGTACAACGGCTGCAGAGAGCCTGTGTGCTGCTGGCAACATCTTTGTTGGCCAAGTAAGCAGATTATCTCCCTGTAGTCGCAGGGGTGGAAATAACCCATTGCCTGACGCCCGAGTCCAGTGTTTTTTTCTGTCGGGCAAGCTAATTTGTATATCACACTGTACCGTGTCCAGTTGACTTTCCAATATTAATTATGTTGTTTATTTAAAAAATCAACAAGAAAACGGACGGTATAGTGGAAAAATTATCAGGGAAAGTGATTTTATATGTGCCACTGTACCGGAGTACACTAGCAATTTTAAAGTTATTTCCACCCCTGAGTCGTCTTGGTGTTAGGGGGGTGAATTAGTAGCCTAGTGGTTGAAGTGTTCGCTCGTCACTCAGAAGACCAGGGTTCGATTCCCCACATGGGTACAATGCGTGAAGCCCATTTCTGGCGTCCCCCGCCGTGATATTGCTGGAATATTTCTAAAAACGGCGTAAAACTAAACTAACTCACTCATGCTTGCTGGTGTTAATACTTAGGATATCATGTTTTTCTGCTATTGATGATATGCAGTATTTTCAAGCAGATTTTCTTTACCTGTGTCTGTGGAAAGTTTTTTCCAAGTGTGTGTGTAATGATCGTGTGCAATACTGCAGAAATACTCTGTGAAGATCTGGGCCTCCTTTCACAAAGCACTAAGGTGATCGTAAGTCACTAAGGCCTAAAAAAAAAAAGCTTGTGGTTCTGATTTCCCGACCAACCCCAAATATTCCCGCTGAGCCTAACTATTTTACTCACCACATAATAAATTAAATTTATTTTCTGACACATGAGTAATGTAAAAATATTTTGCAAAAAAACAACAGCCCTACCTACCTACCCTAGTTCTGAAATGTAGGAAATCGGAACCACAACATTTATTTTTGGGGCCTAAGGTAAACTTAGTGCAATGTTAAAGAATGGGAGTTAAGGTTAACCTTAGTAAAGGTTGCTTCATGAAAGGAGCCCCTGGGTTGTAAATGGTCTTCAGCAACCTAATGGAAATGGGTGGTCACATACAGAGACCTAGATCAATGCTCATGACGTCCAGCACAAGTTTTGCAGGTCGTAAATGATTGATTACAGACTACCTTCATGATAATCATAATCATAATTATGCAAAAAATTGCCAAGTCTGGTAATAAACAATAATTAAATAGCATTAAAAACAATGGACCTACTTTAGTGATGTTTTTTGTAAACCATTAATTGTTCTTCAATGTAATATGGGGTCAGTGGGATAGCCTAGTGGTTAAAGTGTTAGGTTGTCATGCCGACGACCAGGGTTCGCTTCCCCACATGGGTACTATGTGTGAAGCCCATTTCTGGTGTTACCTGCCATGATATTGATGGAATATTGCTAAAAGTGGCATAAAATCATACTCACTCACTCAATGTAATATGTCTGTTCTAGACGGAGGCTCCTATCTTGATCAGACCGTATTTGAGCCTGATGACCAGGTCCGAGCTGCATGCAGTCATGGTTGGAGGTTTTGCTACAATTGCTGGGGGAGTACTGGCTGCCTATGTGTCGTTCGGTGTTCCGGCAGAGCACCTGTTATGTGCCAGTGTAATGAACGCCCCTTGTGCCCTGGCTGTGTCCAAACTGCTTTACCCAGAGACAGAAACAAGCAAATTGGAGGACATCGATGAAGTGGAGGAAGAAGAAGATGAAAAGTGAGTGATGCAGAGAATGATTAGTTGGGCAAAAGAGAAAAAATGTACCATGCCATGATAAAGCCTTGAACAGTTGACTACCATGCCACATAAAGCCTTGAACTGTTGACTACCATACAACATGATAAAGCCTTGAACTGTTGACTACCATGCCACATAAAGCCTTGAACAGTTGACTACCATGCCACATAAAGCCTTGAACTGTTGAACAGTTGACTACCATACCACATAAAGCCTTGAACAGTTGACTACCATACCACATAAAGCCTTGAACAGTTGACTACCATACCACCACATAAAGCCTTGAACAGTTGACTACCATGCCACATATAAGCCTTGAACTGTTGACTGCCATGCCACTGCCTTGAACTGTTGAACAGCCTTGAACTGTTGAACAGTTGACTACCATACCACCACATAAAGCCTTGAACAGTTGACTACCATGCCTCATATAGCCTTGAACAGTTGACTACCATGCCACGATAGAGCTTTGAATAATTAGCTATCACACCATTGTAAGACTTAAAACCTGTTCAAAGCAGCATTAAACCCCTCCACTCACACTTCCACTTTGTCTCCAGCAAACCTCGCAACTTCCTTGAGGCTGCCGCTGCGGGAGCTTCCGCCTCCATCTGCCTCGTCGCCAACATCGCTGCCAACCTCATTGCCTTCCTGGCCCTGCTGGCCTTCGTCAACGCAGTCCTGTCCTGGTTTGGGGGCTTTGTCTGCTTCCCTCAGCTCTCATTTGAGGTGAAGGATTATTTCAAGTTTTTCACTGCGGAGATATTGAAGGGCCACAGGCCTGTAGTATATGTACAGACATTGTTGAATTGTAAACCAACACATGCAGATGGAATATCATACTGTCCATGGCCCCGTTCTTCAAAGCGATCAAAGTGCTACGATAGCCGCAAGTCTGTGTTAAAGTATGGGAGCTACGATCATTGTAGCACTACAATCACAATGAGGAACAGCCCTGTTAGCAAGCATGAGCTTCCTCATTTAACCCCATAATTGTTCTAAAATCCTCTTTAAAGTCAAAGAAGGAAGTTCCATCGTTTACCATTTTCTCAAAACATTTCATTTCTGTTTCAGAAAATCTGCTCATATGTGTTTATGCCTGTGACATTCCTAATGGGCGTTGAGTGGAAAGACGCTGGTGTGGTTGGCGAACTAGTTGGTATCAAGACTTTCCTCAACGAGTTTGTGGCATATAAGGAGCTGGCAAAGTTCATCTCCAACCGTGAAGATTGTAAAGATGGAACAACAATCTCTGTAAGTGTTTTCAACTCAGGTGTTCGGACAAACTAGCAACACAATAGACCGTCTTATAATATGTGGAGTTTTCCGCAAACGTGAAATTTGACAGAAATTTTTATTGACACAGTAAGGTCAGATTTTTATGGTACTGGCGTAAATTCATTAAATAAAATGGGAACTACCCAAAATAGTAAATTTGTTTTTTTGCTGCTAGAACATCTAAACAATATTGTAGCTAACATAGCTATATGAGATGAATCTGCCCTGGTGTGTTTACAATAAGAACACTTTGAGTTCATAACTTGTTTTACAGACATAAGAAGCACTATCAATCTTTGACTTTTTCTTGACAGGTATATTGTAGGTTCATAAAATGATGAGAGGGGTTTTCAAACCCTATCAGCATTCAAAATTAATGTCAGTCCTTAGGCCCAAAGCCGACTGGAAACCAGCTTATTCATCCCCAATAATATTACTTCCATATTAAGGGCCTACACATTCTGATCAGGACCCAAAACGTTTATGGTTCTGGGTCCTTAGGGCCTGCGTCTTTTCAGGGTTAAGGGCAAACACTGATCCCTACTAACAAATACATCATCATTATGGACTCGAGTGTAACTGACATGTGACCTCTTACTCCACCCCAGCCAGCAAAATAGCTGTTCAGGGTTCCAGATAATTTTTCAACATCGGGAGTAACGCCTTATTTTTTCAATATAAGAGTACTGGAAAACATGTAGAGTACTGAATGGAATTTAATGGAGTATCAGTAATCTTGTGTTTCGTTTCATATATGCACCACAACATTGCTACTCTTGTGTAAATAGGTCAATAAACAATAAAACAATACTTTTTTCCGATAAATACGACTGAAAATGATTCTAAGACTGTACACCATTGCAGTAGTGCGTGTCTGCTACGTTTTCCAAAATATTTCCTACGGTATTGTGCATATGTTTTATCTGTACATACGCCAATATGACCCTCATCTGGAGCCCTGGATGTTGAAACAATCCTGTCGCGTAGAAATGTGTAACTTATCCCTTAGTCAATAGCATATGTTTCATTTGTTACCAGCGGCGATCTGAGATCATTGCAACATACGCACTCTGCGGTTTCTCCAACCTGAGCTCCATAGGAATCCAGCTGGGTGGTCTTGGACCAATGGCGCCAAAACGTGTGAAAGATTTGGCCGAGATAGTTATCCGGGCACTGTTTGGAGGAATCGTAGCATGTCTCATGACAGCCTCCATTGCAGGTAGGTACAGGAAGGGTGCTTGACAGAACTGCAGGGGTGTTGAAACTGTCAGTGTTCACAGTAGAATTATTTCCAGTACATTTAGTTATGTAAAATTATGATAGGATATAGCTTAAGATGAATCTTTAACACATTCACAGACAAAGTTAATTGTTCCATCACAATTGAGGTGACATCCAGGTAATCCACTACTTAGTTGGGACAAGTGGCTAATGCAAAATAACTTGATTTAACAAGAAGGCAAGTCCCTTTAGGACCGTGAAGATTTTGGTTAGCTTTTGATCACTGGATTGTCTGGTCCTGACTCGATTATTTACAGACCACTGTCAAATAGCTTGAATATTGCGGAGGGCAACATTAAACAATCCCTTCTTCTCCACGCCCTCCCAAAAAGTAACCAGCAACTCATGACTTCTTTTCATGTATAGGGCGGTGGGGTAGTAGTTAAAGCGTTCGCTCGTCACGCCGAAGACCTGGGTTCGATTCCCCTCATGGGTACAATGTGTGAAGCCCATTTATGGTGTCCCCCACCATGATATTGCTGGGATATTGCTAAAAGCAGTGTAAAACCATACTCACTCACTCCCATATCAATTGGCATGATGTGTACCGATATGATTTTCTCTGGCCAGGTCTACTCATGGAGGACCACTCTGCACCATCTTCCTACGCCTGCCTCAACGGAACAGCAATCAATGCAACAGCATTCAACGAAACCTCATTTCCTGTCTTATACAACTCATCGGATCCCATCTTCAATAGCACTCTACCCTCTGTTCATAACATGACGCTATCCTAGTGCTGTTTGGCAACCAATAGATAGCATCTGTGACTGTCTAATTGTTACCTTTTGGGGGAGTTATGCCCAAAATGTGAGAAGTGTGTGTGTGTTTGAAGTGGATGAGGTGTTGATAAGAACCACAAAGCATTAAATGTTTTTAAAAATGTGGCCTTTTGCTAAAAGGAACTTACTCTACGTTTTCAAGAAGACGAGCCCTCAGTTTTGTCAGGAATGCACTGCGTTATAATTAGTCTTCAGCAAACCAAGGTTGTCATTAGAAATGACTAAAGGGATCTGGTTGTCAGGCTCGCTGACTTGGTTGATAGATGTTTTGATTCCCAAATGCGTAGACCAATGCTCATGATATCGATCACTGGATTGACTGGTCCAGACTCAATTATTTACAGACTGTTGTCATATAGCTGGAATATTGCTGAATGTGGCATACAAACATAACTAATGTATTAATTACATTAAAATTAACTATAATAAAATGTTCTTTTTGAAATAGAAGACCATTGTATTTGATGCTCAAATTCAAACTACAAACTTGGATGTTTTCTTCTGTCCATAGTTATGGATATGTTAATATATTATATGTTCATGAATATATTTCCTTTTTTTATTTCCTCATTTCTGTAATATAAAGGGAGTGAATTTCCATTGTCAAATGATATCAGCAAACATGGTTGAAATTGTAGTGCTACATGTTTCTAATAGTCTGATAATAATACAGTTTCTATATGGTCCAGAATATTTTTTATCAAAATCCTAACCAAGAACCCATGAAGAGCCAGGTTAAAAATGGTCTTCAGCAACCCATGCTTGTCGTAAGAGGCAACTAATGGGATCGGGTGGTCAGGCTCGCTGACTTGGTTGACACATGTCATTGGTTCCCAGTTGCGTAGATCGATGCGCATGCTATTAATCACAGGTTTGTCATGTCCAGACTCGATTATTTACAGACTGCCGCCACATAGCTGGGATATTGCCGAGTGTGGCGTTAAAACAACAAACCAATCAATCATTAATATAATGTGCAGTAGAATTACCATGTGTCACAGCTAGAACAAATACACAAAAAACAATAATTGTCTCTGGCACTTCATGTGTATTTTCTTGTTAAGATTAGAATAACACCAACACTGATTGGGTTTCCATTGTGGTACTATTTCATGAACACACAGCTGTCAGATTTGCTGAGTCAGCAATAGCTGCATGACACAGCTGGTTCACGGTTTGGCAGTTGCTATGGTTATCATGTGATCATATTACAAGATTCTGTATGTTATGCAATAGCTTATTGTAATATTTTGAACAAACTGACACTATGACACATATATTAAAAGGGGAGTATTGTGTACTTAGTACACCAGTATAACCCGTAATGTACGCTTTTGCACAGATGTCAAAAGTCGATCTCGCAGAGGTATTTCATAATAGAATTCCGGCAATGCAGTTTAGTGAAACATGTTTTAAAAACATCAGTTCAGACTAATGAGCTTGATTATTAACCCAAATGCCAAAAGTCGATCTTTGCAGAAGCATTGCATAATATTTATCAAATTCTTGTAATGTAATTTAATGAAATATATGTTACAAATCGTCAATTGTAATTATCTTGATGATTGAGTCCGCTGCAGGCATTTTTACAGTTATAGTGCTCAAAAGAACTAAGGAAAACCATGTTGCATTTATTGAAGTCATGGCATGGAATTCAGTCAATCAATGATCGCTTGTTTAAGTTTGTGATAGGAATTCAATAGATTTTGAGTTTATCACACCCTCAGGCATGCTAATAATAGGGGTAATAGAGATATATTTTGTAAATGTACTTTTTTTTATACCAGGGTAAGTTTCATGCATTTTAATTGCATTGCTTTGTGATGTCATCTCTGCTCCATGTTGCATTTAAAATATTTTTATTGTTCAGTTTTAATAGTGTTGAAATTCTAGTCAGCAAGTTGTGTCAGCCTTTTATGCAGACAGTCAAGTGAGATATGAAAGTTTATTCTGATATAAATAGCACTGGCAAGACAACTAATGGTGGCTAGTAGATGTGAAATAACATGTATCTTGATACACAGGTCCTGATGCGTTACATATCGCGATACACATAGTCACATCAAAGTGCTAAGAAAACGTTTTGGTCAGACTCGCTGACTTGGTTGACACGTCATCGGTTCCTAATTACGCAGATCGATGCTCATGTTGTTGATCACTGGATTGTCTGGTCCAGATTCGATTATTTACAGACCGCCGCCATATAGATGGAATATTGCTGTTTAAAACTAAACTCGCTCACTTCCTCAAGAAAACGTTAAGACTGTAAATATTACAGAGCTGGTGCTAGAGTTAGCTGAAGGTGCATGTTTGTAATGCATAATTTTACTGGAAGACAGTAAGAAGTGTTCATTTTGCAGTATATGACTGACAAAAATGGGGTTGATGGGTTCATTAACCAGTAGTAAATTTAGCAAGTGTATCATCGTGTATCGATACACAAGAAAACTCTGCGATTATATTATTTGCGAAGGAGCACAATCTCATTGCAGTGTCTCAGACTGACCAGTATGAGAGGATGTCTATAGTCTTAATGGGACCATGAACTGAAATCATTCTAGATTTCATTCCTCAGAGATAAGCTGCGTATCCGCGTAAAATACGGATAGAAAATTCCCATTTAAGCATTGAAAAATAATTGTTGCGTACCAATTACGCATTTAAAATGTTAGATATGCCAAAAGTTTAAGAGAAATGCGTACGGAATATATTTATGAATATCGCTTGCGTAATGAAAATGACATCGATTGCTATCAAGTTGTACTGTTAGTATAGGGCAAATGTTGTACGGTCAGTATAGGATGAGTGATATCCATTATATTTAAGTTGGTTTTGATTAGGTATGACATAAGGCAGAACATACCTGCTTAGTAAACTTACTCAATGACATAATACTTAGGTGAGTAAAATGACTGAAATACGCTCATATTTGAAAGCAGTGGGTAACGGAAATTGAAATACCCACTCTACATTCATAATACCCACTCCAAAAAAAAATACAGTGGGTACAGTACCCACGTGAGCTAAATCTTATCTGGAGCTCTGATTCCTTTACACCTTTTCATGTTGCTGTGAATATTTAATCAAATATACTGAAGGGGGAAAAAACCATGAGAAATAAAATTTATTAGAAATTCATAATTTATTCTCAAAGTCAGTTTGGCAGTCTGGATTAATTCCTGAAATAATCACCTGTCTCATTACTTTATTTCATCAGTATATATTGCTGTCTGCATCGAGGCAGTCCCCTCAAATCAAGCACCTGTTTACGAGCAATACTTTAATAAACATCCTTTTCATTTGCTGCTTGTATCATTATATAGCTATGTTCAAGGCCCTCAGCTGCTGGTGGCAGTGGTGTAGCCAAGTGGTTAAAGCGTTTGCTCGTCACTCCGAACACCCGGGTTCGATTCCCACATGGGTACAATGTGTGAAGCCCATACTCACTCACTCATGGCCCATCTTGTATTTTAACAAATTCTCCTTGGTCTGAGACACTTGAGATACAACATTATTATTTATACATATCTTGTATTCCAACAAGAAAATGTATTCTTTGACACACTGTGGCAGCACACTTTATTTTGTTCTTGTTTTATTTTATTGAAATGTCTCATTATTGTACATAGCGTTTGTGCCATTGCTCCATTTTGGAATATCATTTGTTTGTATTATTTGTATGTTTGTGTTATGCGACATTGATATAGGTGACAGCTGGGGATGGATGTAGGTGACAGCTGGGGTGGCTATCACTAGAGATCACAGATTGATAATCATTAACTAAATATGGATGGATTATTGAGAAATATCAGAAGTAATTTTTAGCAAAGTGCCAAAACAATCCAAAAGAAATCAAATATTTCAAATGACTGGTGACACGTTAATGCATGGATTACTAACAAAAACAGCATTCTGAACATATTTTAAAAGTGGCCCATGAATTCATGACAATAGCATTGTCATTTGTGTGTGTAAATTATAAGTTTATTTTGCCACAATAGTTAATTGAACAGCATTTAGAAGTGATACACATAAAGGTGAGAATTTATGGACGTCAATTCTTCAACATGTGTTATTGTTGCTCCTGGTACAGGAGTAAGACTATACTCCAAAGCATCGTGTTCCTCAAATAAACAAATTGACATCCATAAATTCCCGCCTTTACAGGGGCGGTGGGGTAGCCTAATGGTTAAAGCGTTGGCTCGTCACGCCGAAGACCCGGGTTCGAATCCCCACATGGGTACAATGTGTGAAGCCCGTTTCTGATGTCCCCCGCCGTGATGTTGCTGGAATATTGCTAAAAGCGACGTAAAACCAAACTCAGTCAGTCAGTCCCGACTTTACAATAGTTCATGTATTGATATGATCTTTGTTAATAATTCTTCCCATTGACAATATTTTCAATTATCCATCTCTTTAGCCAGCCTTAGCTACAACAAACCGAGACATGCCTTCTGTTACCACAAAGTTGTGCCATTTTAATAATTTTCATGACAATATGAGGGAAAATCTCGTAAGAAGTGAATACATTTTGGAGTATTACATTGTTATATCACTATATTGTGAAGGGTATATCTGCCAGAATAACACAAGCTCTAGGTGGTGTATTGAGCTATTTGTACAGGTTTTAATTCTTTTTGTAATTAGAGATGTAAATCTGATGTCTAAGCCATCTTTTACTCAAGTAACAACTGTGGTATTTGGGGGTTTACTCAGTAAATATAACACTTGCTGGGATTCAGAGTTAGAATTGGTCCCAAGCAACCTGTGCCAGTCTAAAGGGTCAACAAAATGAATTAGAGGACAGGCATGATGACTTGGTTAAGAGTTGCACTTCAGAGGCATGATGTTTCAATATCAGTCAGTGGGGTGTGTGGGTTAACAGTTCGTACATATCAAGCGTGCCAATCATATCCTGAGACATATCACAGGAATAATAAATGTTCACATTTCAAATGCACTGATCCTATCCTGAGATATATCACAGGTATAACCAATATACATGTATATCCTTGTAATCATATACCCTTGAGAATCAAGTTTAACATCTGGGTTAGAACGTGATTCCAGGAACCAAACTTACCAAAACAGCTGGTACAAGGTTCCAGTGGTCAGGTTGCCGACGAGATCGATGCTTGTCATTGTATCCCAGTTGAGTCAATGTGATATTCATAAAATCACTGGATTGTCTGATCATTTACAGACCACCATCATATAGGTGGAATATTACTGGGTCCAGCATTAAACAGTCCTTGTAACTAGAATTAACAAGTACAGACACTTTTGTGCCTGATTAAATTGATTTTGCCAAGCTTCGCCTTATTCATATCACCGTTTGTTATGCTTTCGTTGCAGCTGTTTGAGATTCAGTGCAACTGTTACATCATTATATTGTAAGGTGTTTAATATTATGGTTTGATGGAGACGATGAACAAGATAATTAAATATTACTTAATTTATTCGCTTTTGTAGAATTAGAATGAAACAGTTTTCGTGTTGATTGCATTTTTTCCCTGGGTAGAAAAAAATCTATCCAGATATATTTCATCAAACAAACAGAACCATGTTTGTTTTGTCATACTTCATCCGATAAAACATTGTCATGTTTTCATGTATCTTGAGTGAAGCCTATTTATGGTGTACCTGTCGTGATGTTGCTGAAATAATGCTAAAAGCGGCGTAAAACCAAACTCACTCTGAAGTGGCATTCATTTCATAATATGCATTTCAAATAATAACATGAAAAATGTTAGTATTATACCTATCCTGCCATCTGAGACAAAGTTTATTGTATGTATACTGCCTTGTGTTGTGAGACACAACCTATGATTGAAATCCATTATCCATGAACTATTTTTGTGTGGTGAAGTAATGTTTCTCCCCTCCTTTTTTTTTCTAAATAAATCAATTCCAACCTGGGTTTGCCCTTGTTTTATTTTCACGAAGCCCACCTGACGTATTTAGAAATTGCCTTTGATATGTTTTGGCGTTTGTGGAGTCGTATAGCATAAATACAGATAGGCATGTTACAGAAATCTGTTACATGTATGTGTAAAAATAACTTTACAGACTGTTTAATGATTAGCACACAACATCCACAGACAACATTACAATATGGTGATATTGTTCTGTGCAGTACAGCAATTTAAGCCACTCCATTCTTATACAATCCGTGAAGATCCAGATTATAATCGGTCTTCAGCAACCCTTGCTTGTTGTAAGGGGCAGCTAACAGGATTGGATGGTGAGGCTTGCTGACTGGGTTGACACATGTCATCGTATCCTAATTGCGTAGATCGATGCTCATGCTGTTGATCACTTGATTGTCTGGTCCAGACTCGATTATTTTTAGACCAGCATCGTACAGCTGGAAAATTGCTGAGTGCTGCGTTAAAAAAAACAAAGTAACCAAGTCATCTGATGACATGCCTCTGGATTTGGTTCAGTTTGGAAATCGTGTTTGGCTACTTTTACCACATTTACATTTCATTGCCATTTGATACCTGCTGCACAGTACAGAAGAAAGTAACTGCAGTATTGTTTCAATATCCCAAATCATAAGAAACTAGACCAAGCTATACATGTATACAAGCACTACCCTCAGTTACCGTAGAATCTTGCTATCATAAAAGCAGATTTTTTTTAACATCCCAAATTATCAAAAAGCACCTGCTCACCACCTGACTGATCTGTATACCAAGTTTCATAAAACAATATTCAACTGTTCTGCTATGGAAATGAGCACTTTTTCAACATGAGTCCAATATTTCTACAAGAAAGAAATACCCCTAACCAATATCCAAAATTGTCAAAATGTAACTATCCATCACCCGAATGATCTGTACAGAAGTTTAACCAAAAGCTATTCTAAATGCCCTTCAAGCATCTATGGTTTAGGAATTCTGTACTGGAAACGCAGAAACGGATGGCCACATATGCGGGTCGTTATATCTCTTTGTTTTACATACCAGCAACATAAAAAGCTTCACTCAACAAAAACATTCTAAGAAGTACCATTCTCATGTCCACTTCATATATCACAACACAACTGTTGAACATTTACATCTGGAAATGACAGAACAAGTATCCATGCTAGCATGTTTATTGTACAAAAATACAATCACAATATTTAAATAAAGACAAAATATTTTAGAAACATTGGGTGTTGGCTACCAGATGTCAAAATAGGTTATATGGGTCAATCTGGCGAGAGGATAAGCATTTGGATCCTCAGTGTGCTTGGACTGGGTCGGACTGTTCTGCCTCCATGGCCTGATGGAACTGAGTGCTTGGAGACGGTTTTAATCCTTGGTGTCAAGGTACCAAATCCGGATTCACAAGGTCTCTCAGTACTTTGAACTAAAAGACCCGTCTTCAGAGGTTAGGTGAAATGTGATTTATCATAAAAAACTGTTCCACAGGAGATATTGCTTGTGTGAGATCATATGATACCTCCTAGGGGATATTGTGTTGACAGTAGATTTTGTACAATGCCCTGACAATGCTATGACGTCATGAACTTGATGTCACAATGGTATGACATCGCTGGCAGTACTGTGTTCAGAGATGCACATTTTTCATTGAAAACTAAAGAGTGATTTTTGATGATAAATTGATAAATAGAATCTCACCCTCATATCTACTGATATCAATTATATCAACACTTGTTGATAAAGGTAAAAATATCCTTGGCAAGCCTCGGATATTTGTAAATTTATCAACTCTTCGTGTTGATATGTGGTCAGTTGGTGCTTGGGCATTCTCTTCCCACAGAGGTTACTTGTCATATCTTCCTATAGACCTCTGTTCTCATACGGCCATATTTCCCAGCTCTCGTAAAATCCCCTAGCGGCAAAAAATTGCAACATGAATTATCTCCCTTCTTTCTATCCAATCGAACATGTGTTATATCGACTTAGATATAACTTGACTAATGGAAGCAAACATGGGGCCGCAAGTATCCCTCCTCTTCCGGGGACGGGTGTTTATGTGACACACAAGATATTTAATGGCTAGCTTGTCCGTTGTCAAGGTGGATGGAGGCGCCATTGATCCGCCATTACATGACTGAGTTCTGTCTAGAAGAAAAGTTTGTGCATTACGCATGGGAAGAGGTTCTAGTTTTCCGGAAGCCTACGGAAATTACAAAGGCCTTGCGAATGATCACTTTTGAAACGTCATCGCTGATTGCAACCAATCATGAATCCTGAACACTCGCACCATGAAAGGGCCGTATTAGAACAGAGGTTCGTAAGAAGATATGACAAGTAACCTCTGTGAGAAGAGAATGGTGCTTGGGTACAATGATGCGGAACTGGGTGGTGCGATGAAATGGGATGGGATGAATCATAATCAATATTTTATTACAGTGAAAGTATCAAGACTGCTTATATCTTGTCTCAGTATAACTAAGAAGACATGATATGACATGATTCATAATCTCCAGTAAGCAGTCTCTTTGATCAGCAAATGTAATATTGGAGACAGCTAAGAGTCCACCATCTAATCCACCATTACAGCCCCAGGGGAGTAGTGTATCCTTGTCACGGACATTGTCCTCATCCTCATTCATCACAACATTCAGCACATCCATCCTATATTAGTCTATCATGGGACTGGTGGGTTGGCTTTCCTCAGAGCTAGGTACCCTGTAACAAGATCACTTGGCAACATCCTTGCTCTCGTGAACTCCTCAGCTGTAGCATACCTCATCTTGGTTTGGGGATCTGTGTAGGGAGCCTGCAACATGAAAAGCGTTTTGTTTGCTTAACGCAGAACTCAGCCTGAACATGTTGACGTGGTACAAGTCTAAGAGTGAGTAAGTGAGTGAGTATGGTTTTAAACTTTTACGCCGCTTTTAGCAATATTCCAGCAATATCATGGCAGAGGATGCCAGAAATGGGCTTCACACATTGTATCCATGTGTGGACAGGTCTATCACAATTACCATTTGGTGAAACCCATGAGTAGGTGATGACAAACCAAACACAGTAATCAGGGATGAATCTTAAGATTCTGGCACAGCTAAGGTACACAACTCTGCACAGCATATTCTAGACTAATGAGTGAGTGAGTGAGTTTAGTTTTACACCGCTCTCAGCAATATTCCAGCTATATGGCGGCGGTCTGTAAATAATCAAGTATGGACCAGACATTGCAGTGATCAACAGCATGAGCATCGATCTGCACAATTGGGAACAGATGACATATGTCAACCAAGTCAGCAATCCTGACCACCTGATCCTGTTAGTCGCCTATGACGACAAGCATGAACCCGGACCTTCACAAGTCTCTAGACTAATGCTTAGTCCATGAATATATATAATTTTGATAGTAACAAATAAAACCATTTAAATTGAAAAGGAGCCCAGTGAGTTGGGAGATTGAACCTGGGGAAATCTAGACTTGCTTCATTTAGGTCTTTATCATTGCAGGGAGGGCTAAGCATTAGAGAACATTATGTGGTTTAGGGACTGTGAGACAGACTAAGCATATTCAGGCACTGTGTTTCTGCTTTTGAACACACAACGATCATGACATTTTGTTTTAGAGATTCCAAAAATATAGAAATCTGACTTGTTTTTTTTTTATCCAATATTTCCATGGGTGGCCACAGCAATGAAAGACAACTATGGAAACATTACTCAATTTACTGCAGTCAATAACTTTAGCCACTAGTCCAAAGAGTTTTGTAAATATCTTTTATTTGCTCAGCTAACACTAATCTAAATATCAACCTCACAATAAATGGAAAATTATGCAAAGAGCCAAGAAAGGGCAAGTTGACTCAAAACACAGACTGTTACCAGCACTCAAAATTTGTCACCTTAGATGTTTGGAAGACCTCATTCTCTTCCCACAGAGGTTACTTGTCATATCTTCCTACGTAACCTCTGTTCTAATACGGCCTTTTCATGGTGTGAGCGTTCAAGACTCGTGATTGGAGGCAATCAGATTTAGTTGTGCAATCAGCGACGTTGTTTCAAAAGTGATCATTTGCAAGGCCTCGGTAATTTCCGTATGCTTCGGGAAAACTAAACCTCTTCCCCTGCGCGTTTCGCAAACGTTTCTTCTGGACAGAACTCAGTCATGTTATGGCGGATCAGTGGCGTCTCCATCGCCTTCGTTGACAACGGACAAGCTAGCCATTAAACGTCTTGTGTGTAACATCAACACAATTCCCTGGCAGATGGGGGATATTTGTGGCCCCATATTTGCTTGTGTTAGTCAAGTTGAATCTAAGTCGATATAACACGTGTTCTGATTGGATAGAAAGAAGGGAGATAATTCGTGTTGCGATCTTTTGCCGCTAGGGGGATTTTACGAGAACTGAGAAATATGGCCGTATTAGAACAGGAAGGAATGACAAGTAACCTCTGTGGGAAGAGAATGGGAAGACCTATACCCTCCCCATACATATGTCAGAAAGATGTCTATTTCATAACTTACCTGAAGACCTGATAGGTCAGAGTATTTCTTTGCAGGTTTAAAGGAGGGTGGAGCATCTATTCCACCATCTGTAATGCCAAATACCTTCTTATTAAAAGGTTACTCCAATAGTGTTATTCTTGTAGTGTTTGTCAGAAAGGTAATGAATTAAGAGTAAATGAACTGACTCTATTAAGATTGAATATTATCAAATTTGTGCTTTTCATAGAAAAACCGTTAAAATTCTGTAGAAATTACAACATATCTTCTTTCAGTTACAACATATATCAAAACAGGATTTCACAATCATGCAATATATCAATACTGTACCCGCTCATTTCAAGTGAGACAAAAACTCTAGGTGCTTATGTGAGTCGGTTTTGATCCAACTTATGAACCAACTGAAGATATACTTGAAATATAATTTTAAAATCTGGTATTTACTGTTGAAATCAACTGGGATGCGACTGGCGGCCGATACCTTGCCTTGCACATGTAATACATGTGCTCTGCACATGCTACCTGTGTCCTGCATGTGCGATGCGCGCACTACCCCTCTTGTGAGGAACACATGGTTCATACTGACACATTCTTCACAATCTTCACAATCACATTCTTCGTTTCTAGTGGATAAAACCGCCAAGCTACGAAGCAAAGGGTTGCTGGTTCAAAACTGTGCATCCTCACAATATACTGGAAGTTTTCAATAATGCAATATTTTACGATCGTATTCAGTAATAGTAAGATAAAGTTATATCAATCTTCAAAACTTGTACAGGTAAAATAATTCAGTAAAGGGCTATTCCTCAGAAAATCCCAGGGCATTCTGTAGGAAATCCCAGTGATATCTTGGAGAATGCCTGCGAAACTGCCTGTAGACACTTACTCGTAAAAGGAAAACCTGGCATGGCAATAGAGTCATAGCACTGGAGGGTTATAAAACCTGTTAAACCTACTTTGTAAAATGTCTTATCTTATTGTATTTATCTACTATTTATATTATTGAATTTGTAATGACAAACTTACATGTGGCATCATTTGGTTGCCATGGTAATGAGCGTTCAGCTGCTATGATCTGCTTGAGGTTCTTCCAGATGCGTGTCTTCTTGTTCCCTGCAGCACCTTTACTGGAATGCTGAGATGAAAGGTCATTCACTAAGGGAACATCCCTTTGTTTTCTTTTGTTTGTTGTTTAACGCTGCACTCAGCCATATTGCAACTATATGGTAGTGGTTTGGAAATAATCGTGACTATACTAGACAATCCAGTAATCAACGGGATACGATGATATGCAATGTGTGAACCAAGTCAGCAAGACTGACATTATATACAGTGGAAGCTCTCAAAACCGGCAGCCTTCCAATCCGGCATGCTCTCAATATCGGCACTAGGAGTTGGTCCTGACAGAAGCTAGTTAATTTATGATTATTTACAATCCCTCTAATCCGGCGTCAGTCTATTCCTCATTTCAGCACAACAAAGACCGCCCAATTGACTGTTTGTACAGTAATTAACGCTCTCTAAACCGTCATCCGGTATCTCGTCTCTCCTGTTGATTGGCTGTCCGTATATTAACAACAGTGGATTACCATCGGCTCATTGCCAGATTAAAGGAGTATGGATAAGGATTAGGCCTAAGTAGGTGAGGTAAATTCTGAGTGCCACGTGGCACTTGTATACTTGCTTGATATGGTGAAAGACATCAGATACTTTGCTTTGACAAGCGAAGTAAGGTTATTACTCGCAACACATTGTCCAGTCGTATTTACGGCATAGGGAAGATCATTCTTAGGTTGAAAAGGGAATGTTCTCTAAACCAGCACACCCTGTATACCGGCATTTTTTGCCTGTCCCAACGAATGCTGGTCTAGAGGGCATCCACTGTAGTGACAACCGGATCCTATTAGCCGCCTCTTACGTCAACCAAACGTAACTGCATCTTCATGGGTATCCATTTAGTATCTAGCAGGAAATGATTTCTAAGTTGATTTTATATGATATATTGGCAGTGGTACAGATTTTTTATTGGCACTGTAAAATAATTATGCTGGTTTAAGGTCTTGGCCAACTTACAATGAAGTTGGGGTCTTTGAATACAGCTGGTGTTCTCTCGGGTGTCTCATCTATTATAGGGGCAGGGGTAGACAACTCCAGATCCACAGGTAACTCTCCCTCCTGCGCAATACCAGGCTGTGGAAGAGAAGAAACATTCAGTGAGTTAACAAAGTTAAGAACAGCGGCAGTCATGAGTAAATAGAAAGGAAATCAAATTTAGATCACAACTCTGTTGCTCTCAAACACATTATGTACACTAAGGCAATGCTAAACAGGTTTTCAGGTTGTTTGTACTACTGTCTGTACCTCATTACATTTAATATAATGTGTTCACCTTCACCAATTGCAGATTTCCGTTTTAAAGGGCTAATAAAACTGTCAACTGTTTAATTTTCCTGTGTTCATTCTCATTGATGAAAAGATGACAAAAGACAGATGGGCGCAGTGGAAGGGTTGACTCTCATTGCCAGAGCTACAAGTAAGGTACCTACATATCTGAATAAAATACGCAAACGAAATGCTCATGAAATAAGTATGTATTGCTTGCTTACAAACACACGCGTGAGAGAGAAAAAATAGTGTAACAACAGTGTTTGATTACCCAATATATTCTTTACACATCCTCACGTTTTGCTGCATTCTGTAATTGAAGCAACACCAGTGCGTAGGTACCCTTTACGATCCTTAGGGTTAGGGGTAAGGGTTAGGGTTAGGGAACCCCAGCAGCGCTAATTAATCTGAAAAAGTGCGCCCGGTAAAGTGCAGTACTCCCACCAGTGCTACTTAGACAGCTTTCTGCAAACACCAATAGGTTATTTACGCAGATTCCTACACAACGAAACTTTGAAAGGAACCTAAGCTGTGATATGCTGATACCTGCTCGTCACATGCAATCATTGCCCAACTTCGGCAGGTCATTCTACCTCTATCCGTACGAAGTATCCGTATGAAGTAAGCCGAATTCACAAAACGTCTACGTCTAAAATGACTCACTGTTCCTGGTCGTTTCTTTTTCGATGGTGTCGCGCCTGGGCTCGAGTTTTTACTTCGTGATTTTCTGGACTTGCTGGTCGACGCCATGATGGAATAAGGGAGGTAATTGAAAAAAGAACAGGGTTATCCGCCCCTAGTTACTGTTTTGTTGGCACGCGGCGGGACTCGTATGATAACATTATTATCTCAATATGTAAGTAAAGCACTACTTACATTATAAGGATAATAATGTATTAACTGGCCATTAATGACTTCATGTGTCTTTAGAACAGCTTTAAAACAATATAATATGTACAAGTAACATGCCTCCTTACACTACCAGTACATTACTTGCCTCGATAACGGTGTTTTAAAGTCATTTGTGACGCCATTTCATTGTCTGCTCGCTCCATTACTTTTCAGGAATGGGGCGATGTGTACCAATTCAAATTAAAGACTTCGTTTTGTCATTTTGACATTTAATTTTGATAACAGATATATTCCTAATACTTTGAATGTAATTTAAATAGGGTAATAGTACCCTCGTAACTCTCCATTCCTTAAAAATAATGTGGCTCTGCTCCTGTTATTTGTAAGGAATGGCGAGTTACGAGGACATTACCCTCTACAGAATCTACACCAAAACATAGCTCCCCGTTGTAATAAAGAAATTGTTCATACATAAAGTTAATCCTTCCTTAGTACTCCGACTTCGCAACGCCTCTCAAAGAAGTCACCTTGTTGAACGAGCACGGGTACTAGCTGTGATCTTGATTTTACGTCCTGCCCAGATGATATCTGTTTAATTTAAAACCACCTTGTTTACTGTCATCATATCAGAGGTGTATATAAAGATGGGGTATTTGCCCCGACTACTGGTTAATGCATGAAAGATACCTTCAGATATCATGCCGATGCAACAACGCAGTATGAATACACCGCCGTTAATTTGGTCTGCCGTGAACTCTTTCCTTGGCAAATACTCGTTGTGATGTCACTACATTTGGCCAGTATATTATGAATACAACGATGTTGAGTTGTACAGTTATAAAAAGATAGAAAATGTGTAGAAGGTTGCCGGAATGTTGATTATTTCTGTGACGGAATCCATTGCTGTAGATTTCAATATATGTATCACGTTTTTTCCATAATCGCAAGGAAACTCACCATGTTAGGATGTCCACCTTTGTCATCTTATTACTTTTGACTTTCTCAGATATACATACCTAAGTTCGGGTCATCCGACTCCCATTCGACCGATGAAAAAGTACGAATGTATATGTACTTCTAAACGGCGTCGGATTCCTTCTAATAAACATGTGAAGATCCGGGTTAGAATTGATCTTCAGTAACCCATGCTTGTCGTAAGAGGCGACTAACGGGATGGTGTGGTCAGGCTCGATGACCTGGTTGACACATGTCATCATGTCCCAAATGCGTAGATCTATGCTCACGCTGTTGATCACTGAATTGTCTGGTCGAGACAGTCTACTATTTACAGACCGTCGCCATATAGCTGGAATATATTGCTGAGTGCAACAAACAAACCAAAAATGCTGGTATCTTCGACATTCATATATTGCCCCCTTTGTTATGAAAGTTGTAAGATGCTGCTGCAGATAGAAGGCACCAGTCTTTCCTCCGAGGTGATTTGAAAAAGGCGATGCGAGACCACGAGTCTGTTCTGCCGCATATTACCCTGTTCATCGTTCTGCACATGAAAGCTGGGTATAGATTGCATGTTTTTATTCTGTTTCCGACATATACCACACACATCTCTATTACATGTACTTATATCAACCTTTTGAAGTATAACGGTGGTGCAAGAGGAGTCTAATGGTTAAAGCGTTCGCTTGTCACGCCGAAGGCTCGGGTTCGATTTCCCACATGGGTACAATGTGTGAAGCCCATTTCTGGTGTCCTGCACTGTGGTATTGGTGGTGAAACAATACTTACTCACTCTTGATGTATATATGACAACTGCATGATACTAAAATATATAGAACCACAGATACAGTGGGAATCTGGTATTCGAACCGAGAACCATAGGTTTCTGACACTCCTAAGGGACACAACTCTGCAAGGTGTACTCTAGCGCTTTAGCATTCCGGTTCAACGCACAGTTCAAGGTGCATATATGTGTTCAGTATGTAGTATCAGCTATATGGACCAGGGTGACTGTCACACTGTGGGCTTCCCTTCAGACTTGATCAGGCTTGATCGTATTGGATTTTATGTCAAGTTGACAGTTTGTTATTTCGGCTGCATAATCATTCTCAGATATCACTAAGTCACAGTGACATTTGTCGTCGTTATCTGAATTCCCAGTTTGGACGTTAGAACAACTGAATAAGACTTTCATTGATTGATTGATTCATTCATTGTTATCCGTAATCCTAATTTCAACATTTTAAGATTGACATTTTAATGTTCATTCATTCATTTTCATTCATTGTTACCTGTATTCCCATTTCAACATTTACGATAAACTACTAAGCCTGACGTTATAAAATATTTGAATTAGTTTTTTAATAGTTCATCTATCCATCCAACCATTCATCCATCCATCCATTCGTTCATTCCAGTTGGACAACTGAGAAAGTGATAATCTTCTGGCACTGTCGCCAGCCGTGTTCACGCACATACTGTTATTCGAATATGTACCACATCTAAGCCGAAGTACGTAATCACAATCAGGTAATGCTGATGAACACACTTACACAATCCCACGCATCATTGTAGGGATTCAACTGTAGTCAGATTGAACAAGAGCACACGAGTACCCAAGAGTACTCACGGACCAACGTGCGTGTCATATGAGTGGCACATGCACGTGTGACGGGGCAGAGTGAGTGAGTATTGTTTCAAGCCGCTTTAGCAATATTCCAACAATGTCACAGCAGAAATGGGCTTCAGACAATCTACCCATGTATCGAGTCGAACCTGGGTCTTCAGCGCGATGAGGGAACGCTTTAACCACTTGGCTACCCTACCACCCTTCGACCCTACAGAGTTAAAAGACCAAAATATACTACTAAAGAGAACTTAAATTCTTTCAGTTACCATAGTTTATCTGCTATGACAGTTTTACTACAAGATAAATTAAAAATAAATCGGATGTATTTCAGGTGAACTGATGAAGGAACTCTCCCTGGTGTCTCGAAACGTCGTGAGAGAAATTAAAAAGAAGTTTAATCCATAAAAATATCTTGGACATCAATGTACAACTTCTAAATGCCACTGAAAGACATCAGTTTTACTACAGTAAAATAAAAATAAATCGGATGTATTTCAGTACTCTTATACAAACTCTCCCTAGTGTACTGTGATGTCACTCTATAGTTCACGTCATAGGCTCAGTTATGACGTCATAGTTAGACGTCATAGTCCTAACTGCCAGTTCCCCTGATGAAGGGACCTATGGTCTCGAAACGTCGTGAGAGAAATTAAAAAGAAGTTTAATCCATAAAAATATCTTGGACATCAATGTACAACTTCTAAATGCCACTGAAAGACATTATTTCAGTTTCGTTTGAGTGGCATGTTCAATGGAAACGGACTCATTGTCTACAACTTGCAATACGTGTTTTATCACGACCAATCATATCTATTTTCTCCTCAATTTCAACTCATTCCCATTCCCTTTTAAGAAACACGAGGGGCCTTTTGTCCCCTTTCACTAGTCAAACGCATAACTATACTTGTGGAGTATGGGTATGCACAGCATGTACACGTCCATTGTTGTACAAGTCTGGATCTATAATAGCATATAAAGAAGTTGTATTCTCTCGCCGCTCCCTGACACAGTCTTCTTATTGTAAATATCGAGTGGGTGTTTGGTGATGTAAACATACTTGTTGACACAGCGAAAAGTCTTAGTGTTGAAAAGTATGTACAATTCAATCTGACATGCTGTAAACAACCTCTTTGAACTGAGGGGTGAGTGAGTATAGTTTCGCTTTTAGCAATATTCCAGCAATATCACGGCGGCCGACACCAGAAATGGGCTTCACACATTGTACCAATGTGGGGAATCGGCGTTACGTACGAATGCTTTGTAACCACTAGGTTACGTCACCGACCCCTCTTGGAAGTGACCGGGTTCGAATCCCACATGGGTACAATGTGTGAAGCCCATTTCTGGTGTCCCCCGCCGTGATGTTGCTGGAAATATTGCTAAAAGCGGCGTAAACCCAAATTCAGTCAGTCAGTCAGTCTTGGAAGTGATTGAAATACTAAAGAAGATCAAAGGTGGATATGTATTCATAACAGATACATGTTTATAACGTACGTAAATTCGTGGAGGAAGCTTCTATTTTAAGCAGGTCCTATTACACGAAATGATGTCGTCACAAACTGCACATATAATGGTGGCGTTAAAAACACAAGTAACAAGCACGGACTGACGATACCAACTGAGAGTCCAAGTCTTTCGCAACTTTGAAGAATATTACAGCACCACCACGGAAGGTCATGGCTTTCAAGCATTGTACACCCACGTGTGTTGTATCGAACCCGAGTCTTCCTGGTGACGAATCAATGGTGTAAACACAAGGCTAACCCAGCATTTCTGATTAAAAATGAAATACCAAATCATAGATACCATAGATAATCATAGATAATGATAACTGAGGTAATCATTGAGATACGATTTCGTGTTATGGTAACATTAGACCATGAAATATTAATGGAAATACTAATTTTATTATTTTTATCATCATCATCATCATCATCATCATTATCATCATCATCAGCAGCAGCAGCAACAACAAAAACAATGATAACAATACCATTAAAATGATAACAATACCATTAACAACAAAAACATAATATACAAAAATAGATAAATAAATAAATAAGAAAATAAATAAATAAATAAATATGAAGTTGAACACTTTTCCTAAATAAATAAAGACGTTGATGATGGTATATAATACGCTGAAAACACTAGTATTTTTAAGACAAGGCATATTAACTAAAACTACTAGCGGTAGTACACAGTACATACAGTATACATGTATATGGCAGTCTGGCCACGGCAGTGTGGTTATTAGGCTCTAGTAACGCTGATGAAAAAAGGTATTACTAAGCATATCGAATTGCGCAAGTGGCGCATAGAGGACGATAGATTAAGACGAAGTACCATGCTTCGTTTGTTAGGCGTCATAGTCTCACTGGAAGCAACAAACAAAGTCAGTTATCAGAACATTTTTGTGAGGAGAGGTGCAACTGTTTGTTGTTTGGTTGTCATGACGACCAACTTCAAACTTACCGCGGGACACCCTCAACCTGATCACCGAGTATAGACGAAAGCCGATTTGGGGCCTGTGTGGTCAGTATATGTACTTATATTTAATGCCCTTAACATGTATATTCCATTAAAGTTTGGTCCGATGCAGCTGTAATATGAAACCAAGACGCCAGGCCAACTTGTTGTGGAGTGAAAATGGGCATTCTGCCCCACTCTTGTTACCTCCCCTACATATTCAAATTTTAGAATTTTGAAAATACATTTTGCAAAAATCAACGAAAATTAAGTAACTGGATCAGCATTCTTAACTGATCTCGCAGTTATCTCCCTTTGACAGACGTATGTTATCTTGATTAACGTTGTTTATTCAGGTTCAGGGTGGCCACTCCGAGGGGGGTATTCTGTGTAAATATCCCAGATTACATGCTCTTGACACAATGAAACATTACCATGAAAGTCACATTGACAGACATTGAACTGTGGTTCACAGGTTGTATAACACGCTGCATTAACTCTCGCGCTACCGCACGCGTTCTGGGTTTAGCAAACCACGTTAAATGTCCAGACTTGACCACTGGGATCAAGAGTGTTCATATTATAAGCGATCAATGCGATGTTACACAACATAATAGCCAAGATCTTGAAACGCCGACAGTTGCGTCTACTCCGGCACTGTTAGCACACAGCATTCGGGACTTGGTCGTGATTGACAGGTGCTTGTTTCGTATGACTGTCAGGTGTGTATTGCAGTTCGCGCACAGCATTCGGGACTTGGTCGTGATTGACAGGTGCTTGTTCCTTTGATTGTCAAATGTGTATTTCAGAGAGACTGCGACAAGGCTTCAAGACAGCTTGTCACTGACTGGGATATATACCGTTTCAATCACACGACATTTTTTGTACTAAATCACGGCATGGAAAACGTGAATTTAACGTGATTCCTTGAGACGAAGAGTATATCAATGACAAATTACTACACATGTGTGCCGAAGAAAGACAATAACGGCAATAAGGTAAGTGATGTTGTAACAACCCAACACATGTTATATTAGGGATTACACTTTCTCAGTAAAGTAAAGATTATGTACTTTATGTGGACTTCGCGATGGCTGAGTGGGTTAGGTGGCTGACTTTGTGTGCTGGGGATTAGGTCCCTGACTCTGACAGTGTGGGTTCGAATCCCGCATGGGTTTAATACAGCTCCTTCCTTGCCTGCATCCGATTTAGATATGCATTTGGGTACAACGTGTGCAACCCATTTCGGGTATCCTCCCCCGTGATATTGATGAAATATTGTTAACTAAGAGGTGTAAAACCTCCCCCGAATTGTCGGATTTAACATTTTTTAACATCCGGGTTAGAACTGGTCACCAGCAACACGTGCTTGTCGTAAGAGACGACTAACGGGATCGGGTGGTCTTAAGTCCCACCTTTTAGGATAGGACCCGTGATGATCAGGGTTAGAATTGGTCTTCATCAACCCATGCTGTCATAAGAGGAGACTAACCGGTGGCAAGGCTCCATGACTGGGTTGACACATGTCATAGTATCCCCATTGCGTAGATCGATGCTCATGATGTTGACCGCTGGATTGTCTGGTCCAGACTCGATTATTTACAGACCGACGTCATATAGCTGAGTGCAGCGTTGAACAACAAACAAACACATGTCTTGCTGGTATACTGGTCAAACACGCACCCATCACTATTCCAGCAATATGACGACGTTGGTTTATTGTGGCATTGTGTACACTGTTGGAAACGTACCAGTCGGTTATTATACGATATAGTACATTTCCAGTTACATGTATAATTAATCTTCTGTTATCAGTGAAGTGATATTATCCCAGCAGTTGAGCAGTAGTATGCACCAGAGACCATATAATCTATTATATGGTCTCTGTATGCATGTATGTATGTGGTTCTCAAAACAAGTTAGAGAACATTCGATTCACTTCAATCCTGCCCCACAACGAAGTACACGTGATACGTGTGGTCTCACCTTAGGCAAGTGAGTTTGTTCAAACTTGCCTCTGTTCACCCAGCAGAAAATGGGTACCCGGTGGGATAAGTAATGTGACTATTAACTTTTTGAGTTATCCGGGGTAATAATATTCAGACTGTAGCGCTTTGAGCGTGCCCAGGCGTGGTGCAGAAATCAGCACATTACAAATGCCTTATTTTTATGAGACGAAAGGTAAATCTCTGCAAAATATATAATTCTGATTGTAACGCCTAAATTAAAGAGAGGCCCCAGCGAGATGGGAGATTTCTGAACCTGGGGAAAATTTAGACTTTGTTTAAGGCTTTCGTATTACAGGAAGCGACGGGTGGGGAAACCAATATGGGCCGTGGGCTGTGCGACAGGTTATGTTTGTCGTGATAGTTCCTGGCGTCTTGAGGCAGTATTGACACGGTGTTTCTGGGACATGGAACCTCTACCAGTACCATAGTATTTTACTAATGTAATTTTTCTAAACCGACCCATTAAGATTATATGTATTATGAACGATTGATATATTGATTTAAAAAATAAACAAAACATTTTCGACAGGAACCATTATTCAATCATTATATTGAAAGTACATGTACTGACAAAACATACATGTACATTCGTTTCTTTCTCTATTTTAGTTGTCAGTGAAAGCAGTCGTTGCTTGAATTACACTTTAGGAATTTCTACACTGTCATTTTTATACTCGTTTCAGTCAAGCAAAACAAAATAACTGCAGTAGGTCTTTGTCTTTGTATTGATTTCTAAAATAGAAACATGGGTTCACTGAAAAACTTGGGCCTTGGTGAAATCAATATCAGGCATGCTCGGCTTGGCGTGAACAGGCATTTGGTACAGGATTTTTTCGGGGTGGTGGGGTAGCCTAGTGGTTAAAGCGTTCGCTCATCACGTCGAAGACCCGGGTTTGATTCCCCACATGGGTACAATGTGTGAGGCCCATTTCTGGTATCCCCCGCCGTGATATTGCTGGAATATTGCTAAGAGCGGCGTAAAACCAAAGTCACCCACTACAGGGTGTTTTTAGGAAAATGTTTCATTGTATTTGGAGTACAAATAATACGTTTGCCTCACAGAAACACAGACACACACAACTGCGTTAGGGTCACAACGTCTTGCATTCCTCTTCGCTCGGTGTCTCACAAAGTAAAGATCAATGCATTATTATTTGTCACGTACAGCAAGAAAATGCACTTCTCTCGAAATGAACCCTCTCGAACGTCCCTGGTTGCACCAAACGTATTACTCAGGACACTCAACATTGCTGGGAACGTAGCTGGCAACGTGGTGCATGGCCCCGAGTTGTGTCGCTTTGACCCACCAGGATCCCTTGTTCGTTAGTCTGTAAACTCTTTCCATGTTCCCGATTTATAAACATTCTCGACCTACACACAAACTGACGCTGACAACTGGAAGATCATACATAAACTGACAATGTGGCTTGTAAATCAAAGTCAAAACACATTTCAAAATATTTAAGTTGGTTTTGGGGAAATAATCCCATAGCACCAGATGTGTACTTTCTTTTGTACGTCAGTATACCTCTGGTGACAAACACACACACACACACACACCACACACACACACACACACACCACACACACACACACACACACACACACACACACACACACACACACACACACACACACACACACACACACACACACCAATTCCCTCAATGGCACATTTACATTTTAATTGTCCAAGTCCAGTATCGGCTTATTTAGACTCCGATGTTCATTAGGAAACAGCTATGTTTAATTTATAGATCATCCTGATTCAGATGGTTTCAAAGATCCCATACATAATTACAATACGATACCACGCTATACAACGCCGATATCCCATAGCTGCTCATACATAATACACAGGTCTTATCAAGAGAGATTTATTGGTTGTTATACAGATACAATGATCATAATCGACATAGTTGACATTTGCTTATTCATTAGTCGAACTGTTTCCTCTGTAGATCAACCATGTACGTTATTGCTTGAGCGTGTACTTAGATAACATATGTAATTTGTGGGCCCTGTATGGGAAGCCGATACCGTTATCATTCGCTCTCCTGACCGGAGGTTTTACGCCGCTTTTAGCAATATTCCAGCAATATCATGGCGGGGGAAACCAGAAATTGGCTTCATACATTGTACCCATGTGGGGAATCGAACCCGGGTCTTCGGCGTGACGAGACAACGCTTTAACCATTGGGCTACCCCACCGCCCCCTTGGTTTTGGGTAGAATTTGTTTCCCTGAACATCATAAAACTAATTATAGCTATCTTTTAGTGAAAAAGAAGCCCTGTACAATTCAGCGCGACCCTTAAGATGCCAGATCGGGATTATTTCGCTCTCCTGTCGAGGCGGGACCAGTATTCTTACGCGACTATGTCGCGATTCGGTCGCGTTCGGACCCTTGGATTATATACACACCACGCAGAATCTTGGTCGTTGCACGTGATCACGGTCCCGGTCGAGTACGTTGTCGTCTTCTTGGTTTTGTTTGTCTCATCACATGTCACTCAACATCATAGAAAACCTATTCCAGTTTTATTTCGTTTTCTCCGCAGAGCGACAAATTGCATTGGAGCATATTTTTAAGTGAAAAAAGATAGATTATAATGACAATGTTACTCAGGCGTGTAAGATAACACCGGTGGTTACTGACATTGATGGAGTGAAGCATGTATAATGATTAATCTCATTTGCACTATTGACCGTTCCTGTTGTTCGGACGGTAGACATGAATAGGGAAGGTCCTAGTAGATGCCAGAAAAACCCTGTATACCACCAAACTGTCACACGTTTTCAAGAAGAAACAGCCTCCGAATTACAATATAATAGCATGGTTTACATAGTCTTTTTTCAAAATATCAGTTTAAAAATATATATATATCATGGAGAATAGACATTTTTGTCTTCGCGATGATTCTAACCTTTATGCGGAAACTGCCGTACATTCGGAAACTGATTCGAGGGTTAAAATAGGTTAAAAGTACTCAATATTGTTTGTTGAGAAAAGCAATCCAAGGAAACTGACCTGAATGAGGAAACTGACTGCTACGAGGAAACTAACCTATTGAATGAAAGTGACCTATACACGGAAACTGACTATACAAAGGTGAGGTGTAATGGGGTTTAGCGTCGTGCTTGAGAATATTTCGCTCATATGTCGACGTGCATGCGTGTGTATGTGTGGCTGCTTGTACTAGCCCAGACTTAAGCTGGTTTTATAGTGCTAGCTCAATGGGATACCATGCCGCAGTGAAGCATGAATACCCCACTCAGACACATTATACTGACTCCGAGCCGACCAGTCCTTGTTGTACCCATTAATGCCGAGCGCCAGGCAGGGACCAACAAGTACCATTTTAACGTCTTTTGGTATGACGCGAACGGGGATCGAACCCACAACCTTCCGCTCTCCGGGCGGACGCTCTAACCACTACACCACGGAGGCGGTCCTTTATGAAACAGGTTAAGTGACCGATACAAGATAGGTGAGCTATTCACGAAAAGTGACCTCTATAGTCCATACATAAGGATGCTGACTTATACACAGAAACAGTGAAAGTGACCTATTCAAAGAAGTGACCTCTAGAAGAGGACTGATCTACACAAGGGAAGTGTCACACACACAGAAACTGTGCTGCGAATTCATTGCTGTCGGTAAACAAATTACTCTTCAATTCCAATAAAATATTGATGAAGTTCATTAACATGACTGAAAAACAGTATTGAGTTAACGGGGCTATCGATTAACACACACGGAAGTGTACCTGAAGAGACGGCCGAGGTATACGTGTTGATGTCTCAGTTCTACAGGTAAGTCGCCAGTGGGAATGAGAAATCAGCATGAGAAACTCATGCAGCCACAGGTTTCTTCCTTGAAGTATATACACGACGTCTCCCCATTCAAACATCGTGCATGATGGTACAGAGGGGGAGTTAGCGATGCTTGTTGAAGCTGCAGTCGACAATACTCAACTTAGTAGCTAGTAGTCGAATTTAGAAATTTCAAATTATCGATGACCTCGAATTTGAACGCAATTTGCATAGAGATATTTCTCCACATTTTCATGTATCGTTAACTCTAAATTTCTCAAGTAGTTGTCCGCAGTGTTTGAACTTAACCCTGAAAAGCTGCAGGCCCTAAGGACCTAGAACCATACAAAGTTGTGGGTCAGAATGTGTAGGCCCTATATTTTAATATAGAAATAATACTCTTAGTTATTGGGGATGAAACAGCTGTCGGCCATAAGGACCTGCAGAAAACAAAAGCTGTGGGTCAGTGGTTTTCAGTAGGTTTCCGGCCAGAGGACCGACGTTAATTTCGAACGCTGAAATTGTCCGCTTTAACGAGGTAAAACCATCATTTAGTTTGGAGTTTAAAAGCTGGTAAATAATATGCAACTAAAATTAGACATATACATTCATTGCCTCACTCGTTCGCATGACGCTGATACAAATTATCAGTTAGCAATTGCAATGGTTAACAAAGACACGAATCAAATTCTTCAACTCATTCTAACTGGAACAAATACAAAGTAAGTTGACGAGTGTGGCTGTGGATGAGATACTGAATAGTGTGAAGTACGGAAAGCCTTATCTCTGGGTTTTCTGGGAGCGTAGCCTAGTGGTTAATGCGTTCGCTCGTCACGCCGAAGGCCCGGGTTCGATTCCCCACATGGGCACATTGTGTGAAGCCCATTTCTGGCGTCCCCCACCATGATATTTCTGGTGTCCCCAGCCGTGATATTGCTAAAAGCGGCGTAAAACCCAACTCACTCACTCACTCTAGGGTCTCCGTGGTCTGGTGGATACAGCGTCGGACTGGTGAGCCGCAACGGAGACGTTGAAACTGGTACTGGGTGACGTTGCACATGGCCATCTTTGCGTTACGGTAATAGTAATTCCCATACTCTAACATAGACTTAAGACAGCCTTAACGCTAAGTTCGCTTTGTGCATGTGGGCCGATGGTATTGTTGTACAAAACAACCTTAGCTTTACGACTGTCGTAAGTCATGGGAATGTTGCACACGGCGATCTTAGCACTACGGTGATAGTAGTTCCCATAGTTACGACAGTCCTAACGCTGAGGTTGTTTTGTACAACCATACTTTGGGCCGACTTGCACAAGCGATCTCTGCGTTAAGGCCGTCTTAAGTCTATGTTAGAGTACGAGAGTTACGACCATCGTACAGCTAAGATTGCTTTGTGCAAGTGGGCCCTGGTCGTTTTCCTATCTAGGATCACTTGCGCACAGCGATCTTAGTGCTACGGTGATCGTAACCACCATACCTTAACACAGACTTGCGACAGTCGCTAAGATTGTTTTGTAGAACCACACCCAGGTCAGTTTCCTACGTAGGCTCACTTGCACAGTAGAACTTCGACTATCCTAAGCCTATGTTAGAGTATGACAGTTACGATCATGGTAGAGCTAAGATCGCTTTGAAGGACCCTGGTGCTCGGTATAAGGTCACTCAAGTTCACCTCACCTCACCTCATCCTATCCCGCACAATTTCACCTCACCTCGCCTCACCCCGTCCTATCCCACTCAAGTTCACCTCACCTCACCTCATCCTATCCCGCTCCATTTCACCTCACCTCGCCTCACCCCGTCCTATCCCACTCAAGTTCACCTCACCTCACCTCATCCTATCCCGTTCCATTTCACCTCGCCTCGCCTCACCCCGTCCTATCCCACTCAAGTTCACCTCACCTCACCTCATCCTATCCCGCACAATTTCATCTCACCTCGCCTCACCCCGTCCTATCCCACTAAAGTTCACCTCACCTCATCCTATCCCGTTCAATTTCACCTCACCTCACCTAACCACACCTACCCTCTCGATTACTTATACTGGACATGACCAAGTACCCATAAAATGCACCGTACTCACGATTCCTTAATCTGGACGTTTGTTACTCCGGAGGATTTCACTGCGGACGAAACTGTCCGGGTTAAAGGGGTTTCACCGTGTATAGCGTTATAGCCACATCACTACTGCAAAACATGATCTTGTTTCAATAACATTTCCTCTTTTCCCCAGGCATCACACGTGGGATCTTAACGGGACTCCGAGTGACCTTGAAGCGAGTGAGGTCACCAAACATTCACAGTATCTCCGCACAAAGTGACATCGGACAGCGTGACGCTGGTAACCTTCATTGCCGCGCCTAGCAGACAATACAACGCAGCGATTAAGCACTTGTAACGCTTGTTTATTCCTCAACGTCATTCAGTAATCCTGTGTGTCCAACAACAGATAACATTCGGGTGCACAGCGGGTGCCAGGATACACCTGAAGGACTTGTCCTTTACAGGAGGGCTTTTTCAATTGTTGAGTGACAGTTGTGGCGCTTTCAGAAAGAAAACAGCCACTGGATATCATATGACTGTAGTGATTCCTTTGGTCTCCATTTGGCTGATGTGCATGTGTTCCTGTCAACATTAAAAGAGTTTTGGATTCAAGAGTTCAAACATCAGTGCTTGGTTGGACATTACACCTGTCCGGATGAACTGACCATTGACACGTGACTGATAGCTGTAGTCACGTGACGTATGACTGAAGCGGCCAGTGCGAAGGTGGAGGACGCCGTCACTTCGTGCGACATGACGTCTGGGAGGATAGCTGCTCGGTTTTCTGTGGATGATGGCGATGATGACATACCCCACATACCCGTATTGAAGGTAGGTGCATGGTAGATGTGTCACGTTGGGCGTACATAATTTGGGTAGGTTCATGGTAAGTGTGTCAAGTTGGGTGTACACAATTCGGGTAGGTTCATGGTAGATGTGTCACGTTTGTTGAACATAATTTGGGAAGGTTCATGGTAGATTGCCACGTTGGGTGAACATAATTCGGGAAGGTTCATGGTAGATGAGTCACGTTGGGTGTACATAATTCGAGTAGGTTCATGGTAGGTGTATCAAGTTGGATGTACATAATTCGAGTAGGTTCATGGTAGATGAGTCACGTTGGGTGTACATAATTCGGGTAGGTTCATGGTAGATGTGACAGGTTGGATGTACATAATTCGGGTGGGTTCACGTGCAGACGTGTCACGTGGTTTGTCGTATGCACATGACGCCGGGTAGAATCAGGAGCTAGTGTGTCAAGTTATGTTTGCATAATTCGGGTAGGTTTATGGGTACATGTGTTGTGTTGCCTGTCAGCTAGGGTAGACATGCAACGCGTGAGGTACAATTTCGGGTAGCTTCACGGGGAGATATCAGTGTGACAGTTCCAGCTAAACTGGAATGCATTAACCATAAATGCTTGCCTTCCCAAGCAACCGTTCAACAGTACATTGTGTGAGTCCCACGTCCGTCACAATACATGCAAACACATATCTCCATGTACTATTTAATACAGCGAACCCTCAGTTTTGAGGGTCTAGTGTGTCGTGATACGTCATTGACTCAAGTCCTTCAAGTATTGGACGGCATCACTCCCTGATGCACAGGGGCGGATACAGCATTTTGAGAAGGGGGGGTGGGGTGGTGGTGCACACTATTGAGAAAAGGAGGGGTGCACACTTCATTTTCACCCGAGTTTCAATGATCATTTAACAAACTTGCAGCAAAAAAAGGGGGGGTGGGGGTGCGCACCCCTGCATCCCCCCTCTGGATCCGCCTATGATGCATATCCAGTGTTAACCACAATGTTCAATAAGCTGACGATCATTGTTTTAATACATAACCCCATATTTACGGGGGATCCATGAGTTGTTATATGTCTGGTTTCACAAAGGTATATATTCTATTTTAAAAACGCTTTGTCATGATGACACATCGGATTTGGGAGCTACCAAATATTTACACAATGACATGTAGATTGCACTTAAGGGGTGAACGAAGATTTTTGTATATAGTTTTGGCGATGATTCTGTGATCTATATGTGTGTGCGTGTGTGTGTGTGTATATGTGTGCGTGTGCGTGCAGGCTCGTAGCAAGCCAGTGTTTTGGTATAAGCCCGATAGGCTGTAAAGCATTATATGTAGATAGTATTCAGGGATTGGCCAATCTTTTTAGCAACAATCATGTGTAAGCCAAGGCTTTTTTATATTGGCAGCCACGCCCCTGGCGTGTGAGTGTGCGTGCCTTTGTTGCCAGACAATAATAGGATCTTTATCCCTAAATACGTCCAGTCAACAATCTATATATGTCATGTAAACAAATATCTTAGTTAACATAGGCACATCGGAAGGCTGATGTGAAATGTAAAGACAATCTGGTAATCTGTAATGTTGGAAAGGTAAGATACACATCACAATATAGCCACGCTATCGGTTGTGAATCAAATATTGCAAACGTACAACAATATTTGCATTAAAAGTGCTCGTAATGATATCTTCTGTGAGTAAATAAGTGCATGTGTGCGTTCGTGTGTGCTTGCCTGTCAGTCTGTGTGTGTGCGTATGTGTGCTGTTGGTTCAAGACCAGCTCTTTCTTCTTTTAATGATTAGGCGTTTGATATTTCAACTTGGAAGGTGCTCTGTTTATGTTTCTAAATAAACAGAAAATGGTTGTTGGAGTAGATCCCAAATAGAATTAAATATTCCTACCATCCGTATTAACCGATGTTAATATTTGTGAGTGAGTGAGTTTTAGTTTTACGCCGCACTCAGCAGATTCCAGCTATATGGCGGCGGTCTGTAAATAATCGAGTCTCGACCAGACAATCCAGTGATCAACAGCATGAGCATCGATCGTAGCCTAGTGGACAAAGCGCCGAAGACCTGGGTTCGATTCCCCTCATGGGTGCAATGCGTGAAGCCCATTTCTGGTGTCCATCGTCCTGATATTGCTGGAATATTGCTAAACGACAAGTAACTGTGGACCTGAAGTAATCATAAGTGAATATGAACATATTGGCAAGGACATACTGATGAGAACATATACGGACATACTGAAATGGACATCCTTGCGTGGATCTGATAATATGGACAACACGGGCATGGATCTGTTGTTAAGGACATGCATGCTTTGACATACTTTCGATATATATGTATGGACTGTTCAGAGCCAAACGTATTCCCGTGTAATGTGTTATCTGACGATTGGCTGACACATGTCATCGCATCCCAGATCGATGTTCATGCTGTTGATCACTGGATTGTCTGGTCCAGACTCGATTATTTACAGACTGCTGCCATACATTGCTGAGTGCGATATAAAACTAAAATCAATCAATCAATGTTATCTGACGAAGCACTACAAAGCAGGTTACAGGGTGTAAGTTGACAAGTTTTCTTAATATAATAGTGTCTGATTGACAGTTAATGAATCTCACAGCTGGTTTTGTGTGACAACCATTTCACGCCGTGAACCAGTCAATACATTGCACTCCTAACGAGCTGGGGCCAAACATGCGATACACTGAATGCAAGCAGTAATATTGACGTAATGCACACATATATTCGTGATAGTGAATAGTATGCATGACATTTCCACATAACTAATCAAAATGCTGTAACATGCTAACTGCAAACCAAATTACAAAGTAGGTCTCGCTTGATGTAATGGCGTTCGTGTAAATAGCTCGACAGCTAGCTGCGTCCTACTCGCGTTACGAGGGTCTATTGAACTGTACACAATGATGTACACTTTGATGTAGGGAGTGATAGCTGGTTGACGTGGGTAAGACTACAGACAGTGCCCCGAACAATCCCCGCCCGACCCACCTCCCCACCCCTACTTCAAAGATACCGACATTATGGCAGTGAGATAACACTGGAACTTGTGTCCACAACAGAGTAACTTGGCTAATACATTGTACTATAAACAAGTGGATTCCATAATAAAAGTGGTTATGATCCTTATTATATTTGCTTAGTTACATAAGGTATTATAAGCCCGGACCCGTGAAGATCCGGGCTACGACTGGTCTTTAGGAACCCATGCTTGTCGTAAGAGGCGACTATCGGATCGGGCGGTATGCCTCGCTGACTTGGTTGACACATGTCATTGTATCCCAGTTGCGTAGATCGATGCTCATGATGTTGATCGCTGGATAGTATGGTCCAGTGCGGCGTAAAACAACAAACACTGATCGTAGTAATGGTGTAGCGCCGCTAGTAGGATTTTCGGTGTTCATTTTGTAAGTTTTAAATATGCACATTATTTTTATCTGAAATCTACAGTTGAGAAATTGACAGGCAAATGGGGCAACGAAATGTCCAAATGTCCACATGAGGTGTTACAGGTTATCATTCTTGATCATATATGCTGTATACGTTTGAATTCTCTTAAGTTTCGCTGTCGGGGAGATATTCCTTCACTGGTAGTGGCACCCTGCACATTTGCATGGCCAGGTATCTGCTCCGATTCGTCGCCTAACGCCCTTGACAGTGATGATGTTATTGCGTCTTTACATAATGATAAATTAGTTTATAAAGACATCTTTTTTATTTTTAAATCATAATTCATTAAATTCAAAATTGACAATGGTACAACAATTATAATGCATCATGCCAAGTGAGAAAACGATGGTACTTGTAGTTTTTGAGTAAAGTGACCAAACACCGTCAGGCTCTGAACAGTCCATACATATATATCGAAAGTACATGTATGTCAAAGCATGCATGTCCTTAACAACAGATCCATGCCCGTGTTGTCCATATTATCAGATCCACGCAAGGATGTCCATTTCAGTATGTCCGTATATGTTCTCATCAGTATGTCCTTGCCAATATGTTCATATTCACTTATGATTACTTCAGGTCCACAGTTACTTGTCGTTTAGCAATATTCCAGCAATATCAGGACGATGGACACCAGAAATGGGCTTCACGCATTGCACCCATGAGGGGAATCGAACCCAGGTCTTCGGTGCTTTATCCACTGGGCTACGATCGATGTTCCTGCTGTTGATCACTGGATTGTCTGGTCGAGACTCGATTATTTACAGACCACCGCCATATAGCTAGAATATTGCTGAGTGCCGCGTTAAACAGCTAACGACAACCACTAGGCTACCCCCACGCCCATTTAATGTTTTATAACTGATGGGGTATGTCCTTATAAGTAATGAGTGAGTGAGTTAAACTTTAACGTCACATCGGCAATATTTCAGCCATATCGTGACGAGAACAATTAATTTTATACATAGTAAGTAATGGTAAACTGTAAAAACCTGTCAACGAAGGACAGTAAAACCACTAGATTATCACAGATTCGAATTTAAAACTAGTAATTAAATCTAAACATTTCAACTATAGGGGACAACACAATAAAAAAATAGGCTATAGATCGCCAACAACTGAAGGTAGATCACCATACTAGGGACCATGGGGACTTACAGTACCTTTGCTACCTGCATGGACCCTAGTTGGATTTACAACATCCCTTCAGCCATTGGTGATGGAAGAGAAATCTAGCCATAAATTAAAAGCACACATATTCTACGATTAAAAAGGTGGCAAGTTTAAATTTACTTTAAATGTGTTGGGACTCCCTTATAAGTAACAACCAACGTGTGTATATTGCTGGAATATTGCTAAAAGCGGCGTAAAACCATACCAACTCAATATCCATCAATATTTACACGTCCGCTGGCAGAAAACGGAGAGCTAACAACACAATAGAATTCCTGAAATCAGTGCACTCTGTCAATGTGTCAAACACAATGTTACACAAGGACATTGCCATGTTTGATTTAACCTCGACAGCATATATACCTGGAACG